TGAGATCAAGAGTGAGCTCATGAGCAAGTTCATGAGTGAGTCAATGAGTGAGTTCACAAGTGAGTCAATGAGTGAGTTTACGAGTGAGTACATGAGTGAATGCATGAGTGAGATCAAGAGTGAGCTCATGAGCAAGTTCATGAGTGAGTCAATGAGTGAGTTCATGAGCAGGTTCATGATGAGTTCATGAACAAGTGCATGAGTGAGTTCATGAACAAGTGCATGAGTGAGTTATGAGTGAGTTCATGAGTGAGTTGAGTGAGTTCATGAGTCAGTGAGTTCATGAGTCAGTGAGTTCATGAGTGAGTTCATGAATGAGTAAATGAGTGAGTTCCCGAGAGTTCATGAGTGAGTTGAGTGAGTTCATGAATGAGTTCATGAGTCAGTGAGTTCATGAGTGAGTTCATGAATGAGTCAATGAGTGAGTTCCCGAGAGTTCATGAGTGAGTTCATGTGTGAGTGAATGAGTGAGTTCACGAGAGTTCATGAGTGAGTCAATGAAGAAGTCAATGAGTGAGTGAATGAGGGAGTCAATGAAGGAGTCAATTAGTGAGTTATGAGTGAGTTCATGAGTTCATGAGTGAGTCAATGAGTGAATTCATGAGTTCATGAGTGAGTCAATGAGAGAGTTCATGAGTGTTCAAGAGTTAGTTCATGACTGAGTTCATGAGTCAATGAGTGAGTTCATGAATAAGTCAATGACTGAGTTCAAGAGGGAGTTTATGAGTGAGTCAATGAGTGAGTCAATGAGTGAGTTCATTAGTGAGTCAATGAATGAGTTCATGAGTGAGTCAATGAATGAGTCAATGAGTGAGTCAATGAGTGAGTTCATTAGTGAGTCAATGAATGAGTTCATGATCGAGCCAATGAGTGAGTCACTGACTTAGTTCAAGAGTGAGTTCATGAGTGAGACAATGAGTGAGTTCATGAGTGAGACAATGAGTGAGTTCATGAGTGAGACAATGAATGAGGCAAAGAGTGAGTTCACGAGAGAGTCAATGAATGATTGAGTGAGTGAGTGCATGAGTGATTCCATGAGCGAGTTCATGAGTGAGTTCATGATCGAGTCAATGAGTGAGTTCATCAGTGAGTATGGTTTAATACCACTTTTAGCAATTTTACAGCAATATCACAACAGGGGACACCACAAATGGGCTTCAAATGAGAATGGAAAACCTGGGTCTGCCCAAATTTATCACAACAGTAAGAGAGATCTGTTTTGGTGTTGATGTCTGTCTGTCTGTCTGTCTGTGGGAGTGAACTGGAGTGTGTGTCTCTGAGAGAGTGAATAAGGATTATTGCAGACATGTTAAACCAGGCACCCAATTTCAATATTATAATACATGAATAGACAGTAAAGGTATCAACATAATCTGATTAAACCAAATATTTCCATCACTTGTTGTGTGTATTTCACCGTAAACACTATAATCTCAAGGACAGCACTTCAATTGATTCAAAATATTCCAAAGCCAGGGAAAAACACATGGTATTTATTCCTTTAACACTGCATAACAACATATTGATATCCAAAGAAGTATGAATTAATCATAAATTGATCTGCACAGATGACAAAACAACAGATGTTCAACTGGATCTCTTCTCGGTATCTTGGTCCAAGGGAGACAACTCCGCAAAGTAAGATATGGAGATCCAGATTCCCATCGAACAGGGTCAAACAGGCTCAGGAGTCCAAACTCGAGTGAAAATCTAGTGGGACTAGCTTTCTCTCTAAATCCCCAAGTACCATTGAGCTGTGCACGACTCGGATATGACCAAGCCTGTTTACAAGCCCAAGTTATTACTAACCCGAGAAATTACCAGCTGAGTTTACTCGCGCCCAAGTGATTACTAACCCGAGAAATTAAGAGCCTGTTTCTAGCCAAAGAAAGTAATTGCCCGTTGACTAGCCCCAATAGATTACTAGCATGCTTATTTGCTCAAGAGATTACTAGCTTGTTTATTGCTTGCCCAAGAAATTACTAGTTAAGTTTACTAGCCCAAGTGATTATTAACCTGAGAAAATACTAGCCTGTTTCTAGCCAAAGAAAGTAATTGCCCGTCGACTAGCCCCAATACATTACTAGCATGCTTATTTAAGAGATTACTAGCCTGTTTACTACCCCAAGTGATTACTAACCTGAGAAATTACTTGCCTGTTTCTAGCCCATGAAATTAATAGCCTGTTGACTAGCCCCAATAGATAACTAGCATGCTTATTTGCTCAAGAGATTACTAGCCTTTTTAGTAGCTCAAGAGATTACTCGCTTAGTTTACTAGCCCATGTGATTACTAACCCAAGAAATTACTAGCCTGTTTCTAGCCAAAGAAATTAATAGCCTGTCGACTAGCCCCAAAAGATTACTAGCATGCTTATTTGCTCAAGAGATTACAAGCCTGTTTACTAGCCTCTGTGTTTACTATCCTGAGATTACTAGCCTCTGTTTACTAGCCTGATTACTAGCCTGTGTTTACTAGCCTGAGATTACTAGCCTGTGTTTACTAGCCTGAGATTACTAGCCTGTTTACTAGCCTGAGATTACTAGCCTCTGTGTTTACTAGCCTGAGATTACTAGCCTCTGTGTTTACTAGCCTGAGATTACTAGCCTCTGTGTTTACTAGCCTGAGATTACTAGCCTCTGTGTTTACTAGCCTGAGTTTAGTAGCCTCTGTGTTTACTAGCCTGAGATTACTAGCCTCTGTTTAGTAGCCTGAGATTACCAGCTTCTGTGTTTAACAGCCTGGGCTTGAGACATGATGACTATATATATGGTGGTGTGAGCTCTGGCAACAAATTGGCATTTTAATGAACCGCCTAGGCTTGGAATATGATGACTATATAGAGAATGGTGAGAATGGTGTGACCATCCGTTGACGCATAGTGTCAGTTGTCCATCAGTAACAGGATGTGTAATGCAGGTCGACTATTGGAAGGCTCTCCTCGTATTGTACCACTGATGAATTGATGAATCCAGTACCAGTGCGGCAGTACTGATTCACAGCATCCCATGCTAGCTGCAACAGGCGACTAACGGGATCGGGTGGTCAGGCTCACTGACTTGGTTGATGCATGTCATCGTATCTCAAATGCGTGGATCGATGCTCATGATGTCAATCACTGGATTGTCTGATCCAGACTCGATTATTTTCAGACTGCCGTCATATAGCTGGATTATTGCTGAGTGCGGTGTTAAACCAACAGACAGACAGTTCAGGGCATTGTGATACTCTTGCTCACAGTACAAGCATTGTATCAGCCATGTATTCATGCAAATCGGTACACATATATGTAAGGCCATATTAACGTTTACTTCTTGGAACGGAGGTATTTGTGAAAAGCAGGTAGGTTAGTGGGAAATAATAAAGACGACATTTCAGATATGGGTTTCCTGTTTCCAGGAGCTATTTGAATATATTGCCATGTGAGCAGTATCTATGAAGACCGTCTACTTCACGTGACAGAATAACGTATCGTATTTCATTGTATGCTAATCATGTAACATTGACGTTGGCAGTATAAATATATATCAATGTTCAGACATTATTTCCTACTGATATTTTGAGGGTCAGCATTTTATTAACGGACATAAATCAACTTTATGTTCGGCTGCTGTTTATTCCACGTTCTGATGGAATATGTCTCCCATGTCATGTGAAGTGTCAATTTCCTTGATTCATATTGTGAAACTATCAAGACATACATCATACCATGACGAAGTGTATCACAACAAGTATTTGTCACAAAGTGACGAAATGTCCCCCGCCTGTATATACACCATAGTACCAAATATGAAGACAATCCAGCGATTAGTTCTTGAGATATTGCGGCAACACCGTTTTCCAACTCCAAAAGCAGATTTGCCTGCTGTGACCTTGAAAATGGGGTCAAGGTCACCAAAACCGACTGGTGTCTGCGGTGTCTGTATATACACCATAGTTCCAAATATGAAGACAATCCAGTGTTTAGTTCTTGAGATATCGCGGCAACACCGTTTTCCAACTCCAAAAGCAGATTTGCCTGCTGTGACCTTGAAAATGGGGTCAAGGTCACCAAAACCGACTGGTGTCTGCGGAATTTGTATATACACCATAGTTCCAAATATGAAGACAATCCAGTGTTTAGTTCTTGAGATATCGCGGCAACAAACAGGTGGGACGTACGGACGGACGTACGGACGGTCGTGAATACTATATCCCCCACTTCGCGCTTTCGCGCGGCGGGGGACAATAAGCCCTAATCACTATATATGTAATACATCATACCATGACGAAGTGTATCACAATAAGCCCTAATCACTATATATGTAATTCATCATACCATGACGAAGTGTATCACAATAAGCCCTAATCACTATATATGTAATTCATCATACCATGACGAAGTGTATCACAATAAGCCCTAATCACTATATATGTAATTCATCATACCATGACTAAGTGTATCACAATAAGCCCTTATCACTATATATGTAATTCATCATACCATGACGAAGTGTATCACAATAAGCCCTAATCACTATATATGTAATTCATCATACCATGACGAAGTGTATCACAATTAGCCCTAATCACTATATATGTAATTCATCATACCATGACGAAATGTATCACAATAAGCCCTTATCACTATATATGTAATTCAAAACAAAGAAAATCCTCTCTCATAAAACTATTTTAGTGCCACGATTCTCAGAAATATTTTGTTTGTCATGATTGGTGTTGAGAGATTCAGTCAATCCTCTGAGCAATACTCCAACAATATCACAGGAGGAGACACCTAGAATTGCCCTCAAACAGTTTACCCATGTGGAAATCAAATCCAGGTCGTCAGCATAATTAGAAGAAAAAACTAGCTTAGTCATTTGGGTAACAATGTCATAATCTACTCATAGTAATTTAAACATTTTCAAAAGTATCAAGTTGTGGCGCTAACATAACTTTTAGGATGAGGATCTGTAGCAAAAATCAACATCATCAACAACATCAAAACAAATCAATCATTGATTTCATTATTTATTTGACATAAACCCAGGCCAAACATGACACTCTGTACACTGACAAACTTTCTCTCCTGAGATTCACACATTACAACAACGATCAATGCACAGAGAAACTTCACGTGTTGACCTACTAGGTTCCAGAATCACACAAATCACGTCCCAAATAATCTCACCTTTCTACCATCAGTGCACCAAGATGCCATTACAAGGGTTCTTGATACCATGGACCGATTCTTGGATCACCAGTTGGTTATGACAAGGAAAACTTTAATAAGAGTCCATAGCGTTGAGATTCCTGCACCATGGTTGATGCGGTTATTGTCCTGTAATACTGACACACGTACGTTCACTCACACGGCATTCACGCCTAACATCACTGCAACACAACACTCTCCCCGGGACACACGTTTCACAACCGGAGTTCCAAGTAGAGACCCTTCACCACGCAGCATGGTATACGACTTTGAAGAATTAGTGTCTTGTTCATCAGTAATCTTAACATCTCAGGACGGTCCTTATTTGAATCGGTATCTTGTTCATCAGTAATCCCAGCATCTCAGGACTGTCCTTATTTGAATTGGTATCTTGTTCATCAGTAATCCCAGCATCTCAGGACTGTCCTTATTTGAATCGGTATCTTGTTCATCGGTAATCTTAACATCTCAGGACTGTCCTTATTTGAATCGGTATCTTGTTCATCAGTAATTGCAACATCTCGGGACTGTCCTTATTTGAATTGGTTCAGAAAGTGTTCCTTGGTACACTCACATAGTGCTGTTCCTATGCCTCGTGTGTTGCTCTAACACTGACTATGTCATCACACCTCCATGTCAATCACAACACAAGAAGCAGGAGCTTTCATCCGATACCTACGTAATGACGTCAGTTTCCTGTCATGTCATGGTCTCACTGCCTCTTCTTCTTCTTCATCAGCTAGTTCTTAGATTCGACAAGTAGTCCCAAATTATTCAATATTGAAGCACTTGTTCTCTGGTTTTCCTTTCTTTTGTATATGTGCATGATCACTCACCTAGTTCCTGAAGGCATCCTTCCAGAAGGAACAAATTATTACTGAACAATCATATTTTTAGACGGACTTAATCACTGAGATCTGTAAGACTCGGTTATGTATGAATAGTGGTGCAGTGCTTGAAGCTCGTGATGATACCCGTGTTGACGTAAACACATAAAATATATCACATGTCTCTCATGAGACTACCAGATCCTAAAATACTATGTTCTTTACAACTGGATATCACTGCCGAGACATCGTGAAGAGTATTTCTGTACAGGTCAATCACTACAAGTTTTTAAATGTCGCAAGTCGCCTAGTAGCTTAGCAACTTCTTGACTGCCTCGAAACAGCGCCATTTGTCCGGCATGTAGAAGGGCTCGAATGCACAAGCAAAGGGCGTGTCGTATCCACAGACTCGCTGGATGGGAGCCTCAAGGTTCAGGAAGCACTCACTCTGTGGAATCAGAAAGTAGTAATTATAAACTCATACTTGTGAACTGTTATTTGTACATGGGCCTATGGCCTTCATACCGAATAAAGTACTGATTGAATAAACTCAGTCGAACGACTGAGGTTTACAAAGGCAGATAGTATCAAATATATGACATTCTAACGGAACAGCCTTCAACAAGTATGGTAAAAATTAATGTCACTCAATAATTATCTCAACTTCTTTGTTTGTTTGTTGTTTAACGCCACACTTAGCAATATATCAGCTATATTACGATGGTCTGTAAATAATCCAGTCTGGACCAGACAATCCAGTGATTGATAACATGAGCATCAATCCAGGCAATTGGGATACGATGACATGCATCAACCAATTCACGAGCCTGACCACCCAGTCCCATTAGTCGCCTCTTACGACAAGCATGGGTTGCTGAAGATCTATTCTACCCCGCATCTTCACGGGTCCATTATCTAAACTACACAGATCATACAGGTTCATAAATGTGTGGCGTACAAACAGTGGTGTAAATATCACAAGTTATTTCAATCTGTACATAATAATACAGAGTTATAATGAGACTTTCATAATCTAAAAATATTTAAAATATCTATATTTTTCAATATTCCCCTCAAACCAGGTTCTGTTTCCATTGGCCCTTACCTGTACAGTTGCAGCAATTTCCGATGCGAAGCCCATTGTGATTGGAGCCTCGTGGGAGATCAGGACCTTGCCTGTCTTGACAACCGACTGGAATGTAAACAGTAACAGGAACCATGACAAGCTACTGCAATGATGGAAACCATGTTTAATACTGTTTGTAGTTTAACACCGCACTCAGCAATATTCCAGCAAAATGCCGGCGGTCTGCAAATAATTGAATCTGGACCAGAAAATCCAGTGATTGATACCATGAGCATCGACCTACGCAACTGGCATACAATAACATGCATCAAACAAGTTAGTAAGCCTGACCACCGTTAGTTGCCTCTTAGGACAAGCAGTCACCTGTTACGACAAGCATTGGTTGCTGAAGACCTATTCTAGCCCTGATCTTCACGGCAAGCATGGGTTGCTGAAGATCTATTCTAGCCCGGATCTTCACGGCAAGCATGGGTTGCTGAAGATCTATTCTAGCCCGGATCTTCACGACAAGCATGGGTTGTTGAAGACCTATTCTAGCCCGGATCTTCTCGGCAAGCATGGGTTGCTGAAGATCAATTCTAGCCCGGATCTTCACGGTAAGCATGGGTTGCTGAAGACCTATTCTAGCCCGGATCTTCTCGGCAAGCATGGGTTGCTGAAGACCTATTCTAGCCCGGATCTTCAGGGCAAGCATGGGTTGCTGAAGACCTATTCTAGCCCTGATCTTTACGGCAAGCATGGGTTGCTGAAGACCTATTCTAGCCCTGATCTTCACGGCAAGCATGGGTTGCTGAAGATCTATTCTAGCCCGGATCTTCACGGCAAGCATGGGTTGCTGAAGACCTATTCTAGCCCGGATCTTCTCGGCAAGCATGGGTTGCTGAAGACCTATTCTAGCCCGGATCTTCACGGCAAGCATGGGTTGCTGAAGACCTATTCTAGCCCGGATCTTCACGGCAAGCATGGGTTGCTGAAGACCTATTCTAGCCCGGATCTTCACGGCAAGCATGGGTTGCTGAAGACCTATTCTAGCCCGGATCTTCATGGGTCCAACCATGTTTAAAGTTGGGTCAGGATTCTGTTAGAAACTTTTAGAGACACCGCAGCTTGGATCATTTATGCAAAGTCTTAGTTTCATTGGCCTTGTAGTCTTAGAGGAGAGATTGAAATCACAATGGATGGACAGATGCACCGCAATATAAGCTCACTTGGCCTTCAGTCAGGTGAGCTAAACATCAATATTAGTCAGTGCAGATAGCTGAACGGTTGGGAAATCATTAAGATGAACTTAGGTTAAGACTACAACTCAGTATATATTTGAATTCTGACTAATTTTCCAGTTGACCAGCACGATGATATCTGGCATCCCTTTCACCAGAGCTACAGATAAGCAGCGTATTTGCGTAAATAAAACCCAAAACATATTCAAAACACAATTACTTTCAATTAACTTGCAAACAGAAACACATGCATTAAATGAAAAACTAATTTCCGAAACACAATTACAGGCGAATAGAGTGATGAATAGATGAGTGAAAAAATATTGGTTACCCAATGAAAAATGTAATAACCCAATTACAATAGAAACCCTAGAGTAGACATGGTAAAAACTCAAATGCTCAAAAAGTTATCTGGAGCTCTGCTTTCATGATGTGTGTGAAAAAGAGGCTTACAAAAGGTTTTGACTAACATTTTTCGATGCATGCTATTATTAAGTCTGGATCTGGACGTGCTGCATGAACCGTACCTTGAAAGGACATCTTACCTTACAGACTGTGTCGATGTCCCAGGGCAGGATGGTTCGCAGGTCAATCAGCTCACAGGAGATGTTGAGTTTCTCCTGTGCCATTGTGGCCACTTCACGTAGAACATGGACCTGGGTCCCCCAGCCAATCAGTGTCATGTCGGACCCTGGAGTGAGTGAGTGAGTGGGTGGTTGAGAACATAGAACATAGAACGTGGAACGGGTCCCCCAGCCAATCAGTGTCATGTCAGACCCTGGAGTGAGTGAGTGAGTGAGTGGGTGGTTGAGAACATAGAACGTGGAACGGGTCCCCCAGCCAATCAGTGTCATGTTGGACCCTGGAGTGAGTGAGTGAGTGAGTGAGTGAGTGAGTGAGTGAGTGAGTGAGTAAGTGGGTGGGTGGTTGAGAACATAGAACATAGAACATGGACCTGGGTCCCCCAGCCAATCAGTGTCATGTCAGACCCTGAAGTGAGTGAGTGAGTGGGTGGGTGGTTGTGAACATAGAACATAGAACATAGAACGTGGACCTAGGTCCCCTAGCCAATCAGTGTCATGTCGGACCCTGGAGTGAGTGAGTGAGTGAGTGAGTGAGTGAGTGAGTGAGTGAGTGAGTGAGTGAGTGAGTTGTTGTGAACATAGAACATAGAACATGGAACATGGAACATGGACCCTCCACTTCTTGTGACCCTAACAAAACATCCCTCCGCAAAGCGAGCAGGTGCCCCTCACTCACCCTCCACTCCCTAGGACCCTTACAAAACCATCCCTCCATGACAAGAGCAGGTGCCCCTCTCTCACCCTCCACTCCCTGTGACCCTAACAAAACATCCCTCCATGACACGAGCAGGTGCCCCTCACTCACCCTCCACTCCCTAGGACCCTTACAAAACCATCCCTCCACGACACAAGCAGGTGCCCCTAACTCACCCTCAACTCCGTGACCCTAACAAAACCATCTCTCCACGACACGCGCAGGTGCCCCTCACTCACCCTCCACTCCCTGTGACCCTTACAAAACCATCCCTCCATGACGCAAGCAGGTGCCCCTCACTCGCCCTCCACTCCCTAGGACCCTTACAAAACCATCCCTCCATGATGCAAGCAGGTGCCCCTCACACACCCTCTACTCCCTAGGACCCCTATAAAACCATCCCTCCACGACACGAGCAGGTGCCCCTCACTCACCCTCCACTCCCTAGGACCCTTACAAAACCATCCCTCCATGACGCAAGCAGGTGCCCCTCACTCACCCTCCGCTCCTTGTGACCCTAACAAAACCATCCCTCCATGACACAAGCAGGTGCCCCTCACTCACCCTCCACTCCCTGTGACCCTAACAAAACCATCCCTCCATGACGCGAGCAGATGCAACTCACTCGCCCACCACTCCTTGTGACCCTAACAAAACCATCCCTCCACGACCCAGGCAGGTGCCCCTCACTCACCCTCCACTCCCTGTGACCCTTACAAAACCATCCCTCCATGACGCGAGCAGATGCAACTCACTCGCCCACCACTCCTTGTGACCCTAACAAAACCATCCCTCCACGACACAAGCAGGTGCCCCTCACTCACCCTCCACTCCCTGTGACCCTAACAAAACCATCCCTCCATGACGCGAGCAGATGCAACTCACTCGCCCACCACTCCTTGTTACCCTAACAAAACCATCCCTCCACGACCCAGGCAGGTGCCCCTCACTCACCCTCCACTCCCTGTGACCCTTACAAAACCATCCCTCCATGACACGAGCAGATGCAACTCACTTGCCCACCACTCCTTGTGACCCTAACAAAACCTTCCCTCCACGACCAAGGCAGGTGCCCCTCACTCACCCTCCACTCCCTGTGACCCTTACAAAACCATCCCTCCATGACGCGAGCAGGTGCCCCTAACTCACCCTACACTCCCCGTGACCCTCACAAAACATCCCTCCATGATGCGAGCAGGTGCCCCTCACTCACCCTCCACTCCCCATGACCCTAACAAAACCATCCCTCTATGATGCAAGCAGGTGCCCCTCCCCACCCTCCACCCCCCCTTGACCTAACAAAACATCCCTCCACGAAGCAAGCAGGTGCCCCTCACTCACCCTCCAGCACCACCTCCGCCTCTGACAGTGGGATGCTGTAGTCTCCCGTCGGCACCTGTTCGATGGCGGCGCGGTACAGGATCTTCGGCTCAAAGAATATACATGGATTAGGATCCTGGATGCAGCCCATCAGCAGCCCCTTGGCCTGAACCGGACCCCGAGGGATCACAACCTGGCAACAACAGATTCTCCATCAGCATTCACGTCTTGACCTTCATCAAATGTAATCTGTGTACAGTGTGGTCATGTTTGTTTGTTGCTTAACGCCACACTCAGCAATATTCAAGCTATATGATGGCGGTCTGCAAAGAATAGAGTCTGGAACCTGACCACCTGATCCCATTAGTCGCCTCTTATGGCAAGCATGGGTTGCTGAAGACCTATTCTAACCCGGATCATCACAAGTCAGTGTGATCATGTGCTGTTGTTTCAAATAAAATAAACATAAAACAAAAACCAATAAAAAAAACATTATTATTTTTGTTGTTGTCAAATTAGATATTAAAATTCACCGAGTTTTACGCCTCGGTAGCCCTCTGTCTAGACAAGGATTTCTGTGAACATTTATCAAGCCTTGTTAACTAATTTTCCCTAATTATTTCTCCCTATTAGCCAGGGTTCATCCATATGTCGTCCATGTCGCAAGCTCCGTGCTCAGACAAACATAATTGGCCTATTGATTCTGACTGATGTACAAAGATCACAGCATCGGCTTCGCTTACCGCGTCCAGGTTATTACTATTAAGATGGCACAGATAGCAACTGTCAGAAGGATCACTCTCTTTCCTCCAAATTACCAGTATTAGACCCCTAATTCCTATTGATTGTTCTTGAATGCCAGTCTACCACTGAAAGTAGTCCCAAGATTCTGAAGCTCACCTGATCATATATATGCAGGAGTGAATTGCTCCTTATGCCATAGCAGTAACCATGGTAACAATACAGGTAACTTTATCAGACAATTTATATTATTCATGGTTCTGAAGGTCATCTGCATTACGCACCTGTCATTCATTAAGTGCAGAATTGAATGAATGAATTGCCCCTTATGCCATAGTAGTAACCATGGTAACAGGAATGTGCTACTTCATCTCAAGAGTTACATTCCCTCCCCCCAACCCCCAACCCCCAGCCCCATGGAAACTAATTGTGACATCATCTAGTATCTGATATCTCAACTTCATGATCTCCAAAGTCAAATCACTGGCAGATAGCACAGGTACAGAGCTACAGATAAGCAGCGTATTTGCATAAAATACCCCCACCCCCCACCCCCCACCCATATTTTTTTTAATATATATTCAAACCCGATTACTTTCAATAAACTTGCGTACAGAGACTCATGCATTAAATGAAAAACTCAAATGTTTAAACAAAGTTCACATAAATATCCAATGAAGCTTTTTCAGCATGCGTACTAAGGAGCTAATTTCCAAAACACTTTTATGGGGTAATTTACTTTCCGAGTCAAGCCTATATATCTAGAACAGTTATATACATCTAAAACCTTATTTCATTTTTTTTAAATCTCAAAATGTTCACGAACTTTGGCAAAAAAACCAAAAGAGTGTTGAATAGGTGAGTGAAAAAATATTGGTTACCCAATGAAAAGTGAGTGAGTGAGTGAGTGAGTGAGTGAGTGAGTGAGTGAGTGAGTGAGTGAGTGAGTGAGTGACTGAGTGAGTGACTGAGTGAGTGACTGAGTGAGTATTCCTACTATATCATGAACAGGGACACAAGAAATGGGATTCGCACATTGTGCCAATGTAGGGAATTGAACCTAGGGCTTTGGTGAGAATATCACATGCTTTAACCACTTGGCTACCCCACCTCCCCTATTGTGGAATAACACTCAATAACTGCACTAGAAACTAGTGACAAGAAAAAATAAAACCAAGGATCATTTTCAAAAGAGGAGCCGAAAACTTGCTGATCTTTATTCTCTGGATGGGGTGTCATGGTGCTTGTTCAGAAGTTTGACAATCCATCTGTCACTGAATTAAATTTATTTTTTATAATGAACATTTCACAAGTCGTTGATTTTCTATTTCGGTCAAAGTGTTGCCATGGTAACAAAGCCGACCACTTGGTCGGCCTCAGATGATGCCTCCTCCAAAGTAACAGACGAGCAGTCCTCATCGTCGCCTTCCACTTCCTGTTTGTCTGGATCATCTGCATTTGAATTTGGTCTAGTTTTCCGTATTTTTAATTTCTTTAACAAAATTGACAGCATCTGAAAGAGCTTGACACAATCACTATGCAGTGTTTTTCTGACACTCAGAGTTATAACTTACCCAAGTAAGCATTAACCAATCATAACAACTCTTATTATAATGATATGAGCCAATCAAACATCGTGTTTTATGTGTCCGATACTGCAACCAAGCTCATCAGAGAGATCACCTATTTCTTGTACTATCATAAAAGTGTATTGAAGGCATCACGCATTGTGATGGAAATCTTGCTTTTTGATGTTGCACACTGCTCTCTTCTGATGTAAACACCAGCAAGTGAACATGTTGACAAACTATTGTTATACAATAATGCCAGATAGTTGATAAGGATTTAAAAAATAAAAGAATTGGGGTTCAGGCAACGTTTTTTGGAAACATAGTGTGGGCAGTGTTTTTTTTTTTTGCTTGTTCAAACTAGTATGTAACCAAATAAACAGTTGTGTACCATCTACCTAGGAAAGGGCCTCCCTACATAAATGTATTACTTGATGAGTAAAATACTGGAATACAGTATTTGACTACCGTGGGACTTGGAATATTTAAGGATTTTTTTTTATTTAAAAAAAATGGAAATAAACACAAAACGTGCGGCAAACTTTCTGATGATGCAGGCAGTGCCTGAGTACCAAAACTATTATTTATTTTAGCCTAATACGAGATTCTTTAATACTGAAAACCATGCCCCAACTACCACATGGGTGATTATTCCATTATTGGTCTTATAAATTCATTATTGAAAAGACTGTGCTGTGCTCTTGAAGGAACATCAGCTTATCCTACTCAGGTTTTTAACCGTTTCAAACAACATGGCACATGATCGTGTAGCTACACAAATGAAAAGGAAAAGGAAACAATGCCCAACAAAGACATACACTTTCAAACCTGATCCCCAATTTATTCATTGATAGATATACATTAAATAAATAGTGTATGCCCCTTTTAGCAATCACTGTCAGGAAGGCATTGTCATGTGAGTGTTGATAGCTGATCACATTCAGCAAGTGTGTAACGATCTGTCACCGCATTACTATACAATTTCATTGTGAGTTAAACAATCAAAAAACTATGTAAGAATAGAGGCAGGTTTTCGAGATATTGTGTACAGTTATAAATAGTATACATAGGATTCTTTTTATCAGGAATCAATTAATAAATAAAGATGGAATTGTAAGGAATCCAGCAAATGTACATCATTACAACTTTATAAGCAGAGTCTAGAAAGAGAGTGGACTATTGGAACTAACATGACAAGCATCTAATGCACAACTGAACCAACCACACGATGACCCATGTCAAGGTCCTGCTTGCTTCCAGGCATGGACATTATGTCTAACAACTTGAAACATCAGTAGCGGATACTTTTCTTGTTGAATGCATGCCGGAGCATGTTGAATGCATGACAAAGCATGTTGTTACATTCATTAACATAAGTTTCTTTTTTTTTTTTTGAAAGAAAAATCATAAAAATGTATTATGATATCTATTGCAATGGCGCCAGATTGAGAATGAAGTTTCGGTTGCCATTTCAGCCTACACTGAAGGTTTGTTTGTTTGTTTGTTTGTTTGTTTGTTTGTTTGTTTGTTCTATAAACTGTTGCTACATTTCCAAGAAGTTTTCCTCAGAAGCACTTATTCTGCCACATCACAATGACCAAACTGGTTTCTCAGTAGATCTAAGGCAATGAGCCATGAAAATTTAATATCAGTCAGCAACTTTATCCACTAGACTGAAGCCACTGTCTAGTAAAAATTGTATTGGTCTTGTAAGGACAGTCGGTACTAGTCTCTATACTCAGACTAATATCTGTTAAAAATAATGTCGAAATACAAGTTTTGGTTAGCCCAAAAGTATTTGACACAGACTATAATATCATATACCATATTTTATCAATATAAGCTATCTAACGTTTCTATTCTTTTTATCTACAAGATCACAAAAATAACTCTAAAATGCTCTGAAGTAAAATAGAGGCCTGAGACCAATTGGTGGGTTTTTTCTTTTGGGTCCCACTGACCTTGTTTTTTACAATGGAAATCTGAATACAGTGGTCCCTCGCTACGCTACGCTCCCTCGAAATAATTGGTGGGCGTTATAGACGATGAGCCGTTTAACCGAGGCCGAGGCGGGGGAGCGCGCTCGGCCAATCTCACGATCTTCGCCTTGTCTCGCACATTGCAATGATACAAGTTGTTTACCGTTCATAGTGTAAAAATATAAATCCATTATGTTTTCGCCATTTGTTATTATTTACAAGCCTTAACTGTCACGGTCAATGTGAATGTAGTCTACTTACATGAAAATATCGATCGATAATGGTAGTAACAGACACCATGAGTGAAGAGCCAATCACAATTCATTACACAAGTACAGAGTGTTTCAGTGGCATTGATTGGTCATGTTGCTTAAAATATGGAAAACGAGAGTTTTGACCAGCGCTACGTGCATTCATACACATTCATACAAATATAGATACACATACACAGATTAATTGGTTTGATACGGTTACTTGATCCGAATCAAAAGGAATGACCGCCGTGTTGTGACAGCAACATGTGAGTTGACAGTGTCGCCTCAAATTGGATTGCCCACTAATTAAGAATATAAACATGCATGCACTTCTAAGATCAAAGGATGTATAGTGTGAAAAGTAAACTAGTAGAACAATCGTATTTCTGGGACTTGCCGTAGATGTTTTCAAACAGATTATTAGAACTCCATTCAGCAATAAACGGTTGATTATGCAATGAGAAGCGTTATGTGCAAATGAACAACGAACAACAATAAAATCATGTCTGTGTAAAACTCTCTGTATTAAAAGTGTACATAAATTTTGGGAGCCATGCGTTACCGCGCGTAGTAACCGAGGTAGCGCTTTATCGAAGAGCACAATAGCGAGGGATTACTGTATATCAAGTTGAACAAATGCAGTATCAGAGAATATGTCTGAGCATACCACTCTGTCTGGCAAATGCTTACCTGATATACAACTTATAACATTCCCATGGCTCAGGATTTCTCTTTATGTGATATTTGAGCAACAGAGCTCAATTACCTAGAGGAACTGTAATTTGAACCATCAAGCCATTATGTGATAGTTAATACTTACAGCCTGTTCTCTGTAATAACCTGATTAAGCTGATAGAACATATCACAGTATCTCATTACCAGGCACTCCACTCTAAACCTGCCCTAACTCTATAGGATGAAAATCCCAACACTACTTCCACATATAATCAGACATTCTAAAATGGATAAATTTTGCAATTGGACACTTAAGGGCAATTATTTCCTGATATAAGTGAATTAGTGAGTCCTGCTTAATGCCACTTAGACCAGTATTTCAGTCACGACACACCAGGACAAATTATTTGGTCGTTGGTTTCTTTTAGCAATTTTCCAGCAAAATCACAGCAGGGGACATCAGAAATAGGCTTCACAGTGTACCCATGTTGAGAATCAAACTCGGGCCTTCAGCTTCATGAATGAACACCCTAAACACAGGGCTACCGCATTGCCCTGTGACGTTGAGTGGAAGAGCTATGCAGGTTGTCAACGGTAGCTACACCGATTAGCATAATTACAGCGATAACTGACACCCCTTTTTGATGTACTTGAAAAACCAACATTTTTTATATTCACCTTCTGCAAAATAAGCAATAGATAGAACAAGGAAACAGCTTTATCATGCCATGGAGCACATTAGAAGTTTGTTTGTTGATATAGTAGTGAAAATAAACTAAAAAGAGTGTCCAATAAAGCCTAAGAAGAGAGATGCACTTGGGCCATTTTACGTCATCAGAAAAAAAGATTAAATGTGAAATTAATGCACACAAAAGGCCCAAACACTGGAAATAATAACTCAGTCTTGATAAGTATCTCTTAGATAAGCTACCTTGTCCCATAACAGACACTATTCACCAAGTAAAATAACATGGATCAAGGGCCATAAATATGTAAAAAGATAATTTAGGGGACCAATTTTTGACATCAGTCTTGACAATTTTCTAACTCATTTGAGATCCCCGCCATAACATCAGTGTGTAAAAATGAGTATTTCTGATTAAATGAAATGTTTTTATACTTACCTGACGCTACACCTATAGCACAGTGTAGAGTCAGGTAAGGTAAAACTTTCGTTTCTCTGATCTTTCATTTTCCAGCAAATTTGTCCCCTTTGTGAAGTAAACAGACGGCCAGACGACATTCCTTTATCCACCGCCCCACTTCATGGCTGGGGACACTAACCTTCGACTTAAAGATTGTTGTTGCCTGTGACTTATCACTATGGTGATCTTACCTTAATACCTGGCATATGTCCAAAAAATGCCTCTGGCATCTGAGAGTGGTACAGTGCACCATGGCCAACGGCGCCGCACGGAGCTCGGATGGTCAGGCCGCCCACATCAAATAGGTTGCCCGTGCGGTAGCGGAACATGGCAGCCTCATTTCGAATCTGTGGACACACAACTTGGATGATGTATTGTTTCACACCAATGTTATACGGCAACAATCAGCAATATCCATCTGTATCATGTTGGCAAGTGAATAAAAGCGTCTGTAAAGCATGTGAAACGACTCATGGCAAACAGTCAATTCACAGAAATTCAACCATGTTATAATCATATGAAGAAGTCCATCTATAGTGCACCAAATTCCACTCAAGTGAATGCTCATGGCACTACATTATAATTAACCCAGTCAATGGATCAGTGTGCACTCGATATTCATTCTCAGCTCCCTGGGGAGTATACAATCCAAGCTTCAGAAGAAGCATGTGATTGGTTGATTCCATGCTAAAAGCAAGAGAATTTGTATACTCCCCAGGGAGGTGAGAATGAAAATCGAGTGCTCACTGATCCATTGACCGGGGTAATAATAGTGTAGCGCTATGAGCATCCAGTTCTGTGCAAAGTAAGGTAAGAGACATGGAGCTGATGTAGTCAATTCCAACAGGAAGCTATGGTGTCAAATGGGTTCTGGGTATTTATCCTAATAAAATGAAGATATGATGATCCTACCCTGGGTCCTACAAGGATTGTTCTGTGCATGTCAAAACTGTCTAGACGACTATGCTTGCCGTAAAAGGTGACTATGCTTGTCATAAGAGGCGACTAACAGGATCGGGTGGTCAGGCTCGCTGACTTGGTTGATGCATGTCATCGTATCCCAATTGCCTAGATTGATGCTCATGATGTCAATCACTGGATTGTCTGGTCCAAACTCGATTATTTACAGACTGCCGTCATATAGCTGGAATATTGCTGAGTGCAGCGTTAAACAACAAACAAACTTTGCATGTCCACTAATTAATAGGTCTGTGTTAGTGGAATCACAACATACAGTCACAGAAATTAGTCTTCTTAAAGACTAGTCGAAAGGGCTACAGGTGGATAGTCCTGCTTGAACATGTATTCCTCGTTTGTTGAAAATCTGAAGCATTAAGATCTGGTTGACAATAATAGCCCTCAAATGCTACTAGTCAATGAGGACAACCATCAACGGTTGGTTGGTTGGTTGGTTTGTTGTTGTTTAACGCTGCACTCAGCAATATTCCAGCTATATGACGGCGGTCTGTAAATAATCGAGTCTGGACCAGACAATCCAGTGATTAATATCATGAACATCAATCCACGCAATTGGGATTGATGACATGCATCAACCAAGTCAGCGAGCCTGACCACCCGATCCCGTTAGTCAAGCATGGGTTGCTGAAGACCTATTCTACCCCGGAATCTTCACGGGTCGACCATCAATGGATTTTCACTTGTCCTCAGCCCAAGTCAGTGGCCTCTGGGTGGTGGACTAGCGTGAAATCTCGAAGGCTGCATAGGTAACCAACAACACAGGCAAACTGACCAGCCAAGATACAGGACAAATCTTGGATGCTAACCCATGATCATAGCATTCTCAAGCTCCTCGCAGTGATAGCCCATTCGCGGAGCTCTCTATACTATCACTGCCACCAGTCAAACCTCCCCACTGTGATAGGTGGCCCCATCCATGCTTGGAGTTGAACTCGCAACCGAATGACCGTTATGTTTACAAACAAGTGACGACTGTCGTGACGCCGAATACACTTACCCCTGCTAAATTACTTTCTTTCTTTGTCAATTTGAATTTCTATTTCATTAAAACTATTATGTTATTGATATAGTAAGAATGTAAGGGAGAAGTTGGTTGATTTTCCGTCAGTCTGCAATCTCAAACCAACCTGATGATACAAACAACAAAGTAAATTCATCTGGAAAACATGGTCAGTCGTAAACCTTTTCAAAATTCACCATGATGGCATTCCCAAAGACATAAACAAAAGTATGAATGTTACTACATTTAGGGTTAGAGGCCAAATTTAAAGATTCTTGTAATGGCTGCGCCCACACTGGTGGCAGCTATGTTACCGAGAGTGAAACGAAGGTGTCACGCGCTGGGAAGGAGCTTGATAGCATTCTGGTCTAAGGGAGACAACTTTCCTGCGGTGCCTTATATGCCAAGGCTGTTAACTTTCATATCTATTCATCGCACTGACAACAGGACAAAACTATCGTTACCATGGTGACTGTTTTATTTACCTGATCAAAAGCAGGGAAGATGTAATCAGCAAACTGTATCTCGGCGATGGCTGTAGACCCTGCGGCCGCTAAGCCGATCCCGAACGCCACGATTCCCTGCTCACTCAACGGGCTGTTAAACACTCGCTCCTTTCCTGCGACATGCAACAGTAAAGCGTATGCAGTCTATATCCAAGACCTGGGACTAGCTTCACCATATATACACCCTTTCTTGTTCCCTTATGATGATTATGAGTGAGTAAGTGAGTTGGGTTTAATGCCGCTTTTAACAGTATTCCAGTTATATCACGGCGTGTCAGCTTTTATGTGGGAGGAAAGCCCGAAGTGATGCAGGTCTCAAGACGTTTACCACTTCGTGAAACCCACAAGCACGGGTATGGTGCTGACAAACCTAGAAACATAATTGGGGCGAACCAGGATTCGAACCCACAATCATAGGTTTCTGGCGTGCCCAAGGGACGCAACTCTGCACAGCGAATCGTGGCACCTTAGACGACTGGGCCACCCGTGCCCCCCTATGATGATTATGATTATGATGATGATGATGAATAAGATGATGATGATTATTATTATTAAAGTGTAACATCTAAGCATTACTGAATAGTTTAAATCAAACAATCATAACCAAACAATTATCTCCACAAAATACTCACTACACGTTTATTCATTCATTATCCTCAGCTGACATTTAAATCATGGTGCTATCACACTGTCAATCAAACAAGGCGTTAGCTGCCTAAAAAGCAAAAATTATAAAAGATATGTTTTGGAAGTCCTACCATATTTATCCTTCAGTCCCACTGTACATCGGAAGACACCACCAAACGCAACATCCTCACCAAATATCACTGAAACAAAACAAGAAAAGAAAATAACACTCCATCTTCCTTAAGAGGGGTCTTCATCAATCAAGAGAATCAAGTTATGGACAAAGGGTGAGTGCGGTGTTTTATGCAACATTCAGTAATATCCCACAGGGATAACACAGTCACTTGTCCGTTAGGTTGGTTGGTTGGATTGTTGTTTAGCGCCGCACTCAGTAACATCCCACAGGGATAACACAGTCACTGTCCGTTAGGTTGGTTGGTTGGATTGTTGTTTAGCGCCGCACTCAGTAACATCCCACAGGGATAACACAGTCACTTGTCCGTTAGGTTGGTTGGTTGGATTGTTGTTTAGCGCCGCACTCAGTAACATCCCACAGGGATAACACAGTAACTTGTCCGTTAGGTTGGTTGGTTGGATTGTTGTTTAGCGCCGCACTCAGTAACATCCCACAGGGATAACACAGTCACTTGTCCGTTAGGTTGGTTGGTTGGATTGTTGTTTAGCGCCGCACTCAGTAACATCCCACAGGGATAACACAGTCACTTGTCCGTTAGGTTGGTTGGTTGGATTGTTGTTTAGCGCCGCACTCAGCAATATTCGAGCTTTATGACCACGGTCTGTAAATAATCGAGTCTGGACCAGACAACACGGGGATTGATATCATGAGCATCTATCCACGCAATTGGGATCGATGACATGCATCAACCAAGTCAGTGAGCCTGACCACCCGATCCTGTTAATCGCCTCTTACAACAAGCATAGTTGCTTTTTACCGCAAGCGTCAGTTGCTGAAGACCTATTCTAACCCGGATCTTCTGTCCGTTAGGTCCAAGACTTGTTAAAATCTGAAAGTCCGAAATGAGCTGCGGAGTAGATGGGTATGACCAATGATGTCTTCCCTTGTCACAGCTATGTCATATTGAGTATATATAAATAATCCAGTCTCATCCAGGCAGACCAGGGTTTATAGAACGAGCATCAAACTGGGTCATGGACACACATTCCGGCCTATCGCACATCGGTAAGACCCAATCCTCATTCCTGTCCACTCTTCTGATATATATGAGGTATTGGGACCTCTCTTGCCCTGGAAAATGAAATAATGAGCCCTCCCACCACCTTCCAAGGCATTGCCTTTATAGATCACAAGTCACATACCGCTACTACAGTTTGGTTGTTGTTCAACCCCACACTTAGCAATATTCCAGCTTTAGGACGGCTGTAAACAATCGAGTCGGGACCAGACAATCTAGTGATTGACATCATGAGCATCAATCCAGGCAACTGGGCTACGATGACATGCATCAACCAGGTCAACGAGCCTGACACCCGATCCTGTAAGTCACCTCTCACAACCGGCAGTAATCGCCTCTTGTGACAAGAAAGGGTTGCTGAAGACAGATGTACCCCCTGGTACTTTTCCGTATTCAAAAATGTAGCTTGCAGAAATCAAAATCAAACTACAGAAATACATTACACTATATCCACACGATGAGAGCATTTAAAGTGCTGTGACCAATGTGACACAAAAGTGCTCCGATCCTAGTCCTCCAGTTGTTCCTCTATCTAGTTCTTACTTATTCCCCATGGTGGAAGCGGGGCTATATGTGATAACACAACATTATAACAAATCCAAGTTAGACAACATTAAACACAGCTTACTTAGAAAAGAAGTACTTACATCTCTCAGTCTTACCATGAAAAGCCTCAGTTTGTTCAAATTGTCAGCTCACAAAATATGCATTGCAGTAACCATAGCAACAACTTACCAGCAGATGGATCTTTACTGAGAGCTATATCTAGCGCATTGGTCACGGACTGGAATAAGTTCATTCGAGTTGTCTCCCCTGTCAATGGAAGAAAAATTATTAGGCAACGCCCACAAACAGAATACTGTTTCATGATTGGCTGATAACAGAATAGGCGGTGGTTGTTGCCTTATTTAGCTGAGCGATGTCACTGACTTCCAATTGTCTACAGCTTTTCTGTGCAGTCTGTGAAGTTATTAATATTGATGTACTTACTGAAAGGACTTTCTGCACAAATAATATTAAAATCAATTCTTGATTGTGTTACAGATCAGAGAGACGAGGAGCTGCACAGTTCCTCCAGGCTAACACGGTCCTGTGCATTAGGTTTATTCACATTACATGAATTAAGTAACTAAATACCTAATAAGCTACATTCCCGAGCATAATAATGAAATCTTCCAAATAAAATAAATAATATATAATATAATGCACATGTTCCCATTTATAGCCTTAATCCCCATGAATTAAGCTGAAACTGACAAAACTATATATTGAAAATAAAACCGCTTTCGTAGAGTGGTGCTTGCTATAAAATGAACAAATAATGAAAACTCTCAAATTACATTGTGTGTAGAGATGATAGATCACTGAGAGGATGTTATGCACACTTGATGACCCCAGCAACTATGTTGCTTGGCTGACATCACAGTGCAGTTTCGCTGGTGCATATTTCTACACCAAATTTCACAGATTACATCATAGGGTATTGTGACGTGTTTAAAAGGTTTTGGTACTGAATTGTAAAGGTAGGCCAAAGTTTTCATTTGAATTGTTTTATATCAGAATTAATAAATACAATTCTAAATGTAAATACTCATTTCTCTTGCTTTGAGGCTGTCGAAGGAGTCCCCTTAAGGCGATGTGATGAAGTAAACAGCAGAAGCTAAGTTACTATAGTCTCTTTTATATTCAGATTGATATGTGCATATGATTATGCATTTCTCCTGAACAAACTATGTCGCACGCTGTGAGAAAGTATTCAATCTCAGTTGCAAGACTTCGACATTCGGATATGTCAGATAAACAAGCGATCGCGGCATTCCTACAGTACATTGTTTGAAGTGATCACAGAAATAAGCTTATAAGTAAATTTTCGTTGTATTATGCTTGATAAGTGACACTATACTGATTGAAATCTGTTGTTTGTTCATCAAAGTACACAGCATAAATTATTGACAACTCCAGACAGGTTACGCTTGCATAATGTGAAAGTAATTGTAATTGTAGACAAGCAAGATTTAAAAAAAGTCTAAATGTCACATAATACTTGATATCAAGGCGTAGGCAAATTTCAGTGCCGCTCTTAAATTACTGGGCATTTGTCATATCGGGCACTATTCTTTTGAATGGTTACAACTTGCTCTAGGCTTGGTACATATCCACATGTAATACCTTGTATATCTAAAAATACAGCAAAGTATTGTTTTCCTCAAATTTAGTTACAATTCACTGCGGTATGACATCAGAGGATCTAGGTAAACAAATCTATCATTACCTCACTAGTGAATTCTGTCATTTGTGAAAGGAGTGAAGTTTTGGACATTAGAGATGAATGTAGAACACTTCCATTTCTGCACTTTTATACTATATACAAGTACATGCTTAAACCAAGCGTCAAACTACCATTCATTGGAAATGTTCCCAATGAGGATGCCCGACCACAATAACACCAAAGATGACTTGTCACCAAGCAAAGTAATATGTCGCTGAGCAATGGGTGGACTCTTGACATATTACCTGAAGGGGTGGCACCTGAGTCTGTACAATTCATTGAGATACTGCAGGTTCAGACAAAATAATACCTCAATCACAATCCAGTTAGTTTGATGCTACCCAAGAAAAAGAACTACCGAAACCTAGCCCATGCCACGTCCCCAACGTGTTTGTTTTGGAAGAAGATTACAGAGCGTGGGATTTCAGCACTTTCACTTGGACATTTAAATACTTTCTATGAACATTAATAATGTTTCTCTCTCGGAAGTTGACTAGGCCGAAATGTATCTAGGAAAATTTACATACGCAACAAACCAGTGATTGACATCATGAGCATCAAAACACGAAGTTGGCTTACAATGAAATGCAATCAACCAAAACACCGATCCCGACCACCGCATCCACTTAGTCGCCTCTTACGACCAGCACAAACTTCTGGGAACCCATATTTTTACACGGAATCCCCGAGGATACTACCATTTTTTGCATTAATGATGCTACATAAAGAATGAGTCTTCAGTAGACCTTGCCATAATGCGAACTCATTCAATACCATGTTCTGGCGGAGGTGTGTCTGGAACATAGCTGAATGACGTTGCGTTTCGAACTGCTACTGTCGTTGATGCATTTGGCAGTAAATGTCGGAATAATTTGGAGGAAACACGAATCGTTCGCAAGGTGCTCGCCATTTTGTGCGGAGTGAATATTTGTGAAATAACCCATTGGTTGATATTATTCATAAATGTGATATTATCGTCAACAAAACCCCTTCTTAGCACTAGTTTAGTTTCAGTAGATATAATAATAGAATCCATGAAAATAGTTTGAAATTGGATTTCTTAGGCATACAACAGAATCGCAGAATGCAGGTCTATCGAAAAGGAAAACATGATGCGAAAATGGTGTTGTTCTGTTGGACGTTCTTTTCAAAGCAACCTTCCAAAACATAATAAACAGACAAAAAATATTTATGATTAAACAGGTTATATTGTTGTATAATGTAAACTTGCGAAAATGATGGCAAAATATTATTTTAATTTGTTCATTTTCCATTAAGTTTGCATTTTGACAATTTCCGTCGAGACTGTCATGGCGTCGACAAGAAGTATCGTCGAGTACCTCGGTGACCATGAACGTTATCGTTGTGGTTACTGCGGATCTTCGGATACTAACTATTCACATGGTAAATTGAAAATGACAGCATGATTTCTCGAAAGCATGATACAGTCCAATCTTGAGAGGTTTTTTGTGTGAATTCTAGAATGTGTTGCCAAGGAAAACATTGTGAAATTCCACTGAATTATTCAATGTGATTTGGTGCGATTGACACCAGAAATGCACTAACACCTGTATTTATACATACAATTGAACAACTTGACATGAAGCATACAGTCATATCGTCACCCTGTTTTAAGTAGCATATATTGTTGTGAAAGATTTTGACTACACAAACAAACACATCATACACTCCACACGGAAGTAAATGCACTCGTTATTGATCAGTAAATAAGAATAAAATCAGAAATCTACTTCCGTTTGCCTTTCTTGACATTTTTTCAGGGAAATAAAATTTCATATTTCAGAAAGTAAGTGGCATTAATCGAATTTGGCAAAAATGCAGTTTACCATTCGCAGCTTTGCCCTCTACCAACAGCTCAATATACACAATATCGCTGAGAGCCACGATGGGGTTCTACAGTCAAGACATGACCCTTCATCTTGGCCGAGAACACCTTCATAAATCCTATTCAGACAGTGGTGGCAGATAACCCTCGTCTTTTTCTGAGATTTTAAAAAATTGCTGTGTAGATGTCATAATTTTACTACCACAACTTGAGGTAATAACAGACCGGTAACCTGTTCACTTCATGTGTCCATGATAGTGAGCCGACATGGGGTGCGCATGCGCTGGATTTCTATAGGCTGTTTCTGCATGGGTTTTCTACAAGCTGCATGTTCTACTCTCTGGTAGCAGAGACATGCAGTTTCGCAGGCTTGCATCGAGGATGCATCCACCTGTGTGTAAAACGTAGACTATTTTCTGATTTCATTGACACAAGACTTTTAGGAAGTCAGGCTGTAATTTCTAAAGGATTGATGAAGCAGTATTAGGGGTACGGAATGTATATATATAGAGAGAGATAATATTAGTGTTTGGGCATGAATCTACTGCAGGAGTTCCATGTAAATAGGTTACCCATTTCAAACATACTTGAATCACCAATGTCAAAGGTGTTTGTCAATCCCATCTTTTAAAACAATGTGGTATATTTTTCCATGTTCCTGTTTCATAACGATTGCAACATCTTATTCTGAATAAAGTACGCCACTGACAGTATTTCATTGAAATGATCAGGTTCTAGAGCAGAATTTGATAAGTTTATTGTGGCCCCGCTGGGTGATTCAGTTTTATATGATATTATATACATATATCCGTCATCTTTGGATACACAAGGTTGATAGTCTGTGTTTAGAAGTAGTGAACATGTTATTCTCAAGCATAATATTTTAATAATGCCAGGATAGTAATAGCTGTCAACATTTTGGAGACTGTAGACTTTGAACATAGTGAACATGTTATTTCAAATATGTGGGGGCCGGAGGGGTTGTCATCTTCTGATGACTCTTGTTCATTGGGTAACCAATGTTTTTTCGCTCATCTATTCATCACTCTATTGGGATTTTCACAAAAGTAATGAACATTTTAAGATTTTGAAAAAATGAAATAATGTTTAAGATGTATATGACTGTTCTAAATATATAGGCTTGACTCGGAATGTTAATTTTCTCATAATTGTGTTTCGGAAATTAGCTCCTTTGTACGCAAGTTGGAAAAGCCTTATTGGGTATTTATGCGAGCTGTTTTTATACGTTTGAGATTTTCATTTTTCATGCGTTTCTGCACGCAAGTTAATTGAAAGTAGTTGGGTTTTGAATATTTTGGGGGGTATTTTACGCAAATACGCTGCTAATCTGTAGCTCTGTGTTGGCACCAGAAGGAGGTTTGTTGTGGTGAACGCCTAAGACCTGCATCATTGTGGGCTTCCCTTCCCTGACACTCATCATGCTCATCTTACTCAAAAACCAACTGAGAGAAGTGTGATCAGTCAAAAAAGCCTTGTTTCCAGTGTGTGTTTCCTTTGGTTAGAGAGTCAATTGCAGGTCAGTTTGTAACCTGGTAACAGCTGTTCTGAGTGACTGGTACAAAGGTAAAACAAACTCTGTGTCAAAAATTAGACCAAAGGAATGAGTCACAGTAACTTGTTGAGTCTATAAATTTATTATTTGGAGTGAGCTCTACTCTACTCTACTCTACTCTACTTTATCTCTGTTATCTTGGTTACTGACACATTTGTTTATATGGACCCCAATGATTTGCTGTAGTTTCCTCTACCTTACCTGGGGTGGTGGGGTAGCCTAGTGGTAAAGCATTCGCTCGTCACACCTAAGACCTGGGTTCGATTCCACACATGGATACAAAGTGTGAAGCCCATTTCCAGTGTCCCCAGCTGTGACTTTCCTGTAATGTTGCTAAAGACAGTGTAAAATCATACTCATTCACCTTCCGTTAGCATGTATTTAGTTGCCATGGTTACAAAAGGCTTGTTTTTCTTCTCTGGAATGCTTTATGTTGGCTTTGGGATTATGAGACTCTCTCCAAGATTTTCCTATACATATTACATTGAATCACAGCAGTAGACAAATTCTGGCTAACGTGTTCACAAAAACACCAATATGACCTAGTTATCAGACAGTTCAAGAGTGAGTCGTGTTGAAAATGAGCCAAAGCTTGTGAGTTACATCTCCTGTTATCATTTCCACATCCAAAATACTATTATTTGATACCTTTTTGCAGCCCTTACAGTGATTCCAAGAGAACAGCAAGTCTGGGATTATGAATATGAGTTTATGCAACCTTTGAAATGGCAAATCTGTTTTGCTCTTGTAATCAACCATTTGAAAATGTCTGATAAGTTTCAATGCCAATATTTCAAAGTTTTAAGATTTGACTTTTTGAAAAGGGTCCTTATTATTTCTTATTCCCTGATCCGTTTATTTCTGGTCTGGGTGTCCTCTCAAAACTAGACACAGCCTCACTGGTGTTGTAAAACCAGAAATTTGTTTTACTTTTAAACATGATAAGTATGCTCTGAACCTGGCCATTCCCTCAAAAATACATACCAGCTGCTCTAAGTGTAAGAGGGGGCACAGGTGGCCAAGTCGTCTAAGGCGCCGTGATTCGCTGTGCAGAGTTGTGTCCCTTGAGCACGCCAGAAACCTATGATTGTGGGTTCGAATCCCGGTTAACCCCGATTATGTTTCTAGGTTTGTCAGCACCATACCCGTGCTCGTGGGTTTCACCGAAGTGGTAAATGTCTGAGACCTGCATCACTTCGGGCTTTCCTCCCACATTAAGCTGACACCCTGTGATATAACTTGAATACTGTTAAAAGCGGTGTTAAACCCAACTCACTCACTCTAAGTGAAAGACCTAGAAAGACAATTCAACTGATCATAACTCTACAATGTTAGTTTAAAAGTAGGCTTTGTCGACAATAACAACAGGTAAGGCTGAACACTAGTGGAGGGACGATATTCTGATGCATCGGTGGATCGCGATTTTTTACTTCTCGATACAAATATCGATCACAGTCACACGCTAAGTATAAAGTATTGATTCTTACCTTAAATGTTTTCTTTAATAAGTGTTACACCAAACACTAATTACCAGTGCAAATGAGTAGTGAAAACGTATATATTTTCATCCATTGTGCCATACCTGACACTGCCAACTGTACCAAGCAGGGTTAGAAATGGGTACTAGTCCTATAGTCCTTGCCAAACTGCCCAATAGTTAAGGTATCCTAAGGACAAGTAAATATTTGCCATTTTGAAGGGGTTTGCTATTTATTATCATTATAAAGACTAGTGGACCAAAAACGTTAGTTTCTACCGCTGACAGGTATCCTGTCTATGAAAAAGATGGCTTACGCACCACAGATAAGTGCACATGCAAGTATCGTGATGCGTATCGGATCGCACAGTTGGTGTATTGCCCCAGCCCTACTGAGCCCACCAAGCTATAGTTGACACGAAGCTACCACACCACAAACTAGCCTCTCATGCATCCATCAGTTGAGTATGAACTTTGTGTTGTAGGTATGTGGGCTCATTCCATGACAGTACAGGACTATGAAGATCTCATCAACAGAGGCTGGAGGCGGTAAATATAACATTTCACCTGGACATGATAGATCAGATGATTTTACTTTTAGGGAAGTTGAACAATGATACTACATGACAATCTTGGAATTTCTGTTTCTACTTCATACCTTGTCACATGTCATGGGCGGATACAGAGGGGGGGTGTGGGGGTGCGCACCCCCCCTTTTTATTTCGAAAAAAATCTTTATTTCTGTATAAATTACCACCAAAGACAATAAATAGATCTTAATTGTGCACCCCCCCTTTTCAAAAAAGCTGTATCCGCCCATACATGTAGTTACTTCTACATTTATGTTATACAAACCAAAACCACATACCTAGTTGCTTGACCAAGTTGAAGCTACGTATCTGCCTTGTGTTTCATAGATTGTTGTTTATCGTGCTTGTGAGTGCGAGAAAACTTAATTGTCCTCATGTAAATTTGATTGTCAGTAATGTTCTGGTACGATGGCCTGGATCGATGCTCATGATGTCAATCACTGGATTGTCTGGTCCAGACTCGATAATAACAGGACGCTGTCATATAGCTGGAACATTGCTGAGAGCAGCATTAAACAACAAACAAATGTTATCATGCTTCTCAGATAGAAATGCTTTATAAACACTTTTCACAGATATGTTAATGCAACTTTTACATATTTCACATGGTCCTATAAAATATAATGCTAAACAATGTAATGTAGATGAAAAAGATATGTGTTTTCAGTTAAACATGTTTACGAATGGTTTAAGCACCATGTATTTTTTCCATATCAGAAGTGGCAAGTACTGCTACAAGCCCACCATGAAGGTGACATGCTGTCCACACTACACCATCAAACAGGATGCTCCAAATTTCAAAATGAGCAAATCCCACAAAAAGGTTATAAAACGTGTGAACAAGTTTCTTATTCATGGAATAAAGAAAGGGGATAAGAGTGATGAGGTGGACGATGATAGTGAACCATCTGCAACACATGGTGGTGAAAATCTTGAACGATTAGAAAATATATCACCCAGTGACTTAAAACTTAAAGCTGACGGCGTGAAGCTTAAAACAGACTTGAAAGATTCAAGTTCAAAGATCAGTTCAAAGGGAGATGACTCTGATAAAAGTTCATCGATCTCTACAGCCAGCACAAGCAAACCTGCTGACAGCGAGGACAAGGCAATGGATACACAAGCTAAACAGCCCCACAAACCTCAGCCAGGTACCGTTCAAGCTGTGACAGTAACAGTCATTACAACTATTCCATACCTGTCAACTCTCATGCATCTCGCGTGAGTCTCACGCATTTATCACCTATGTCACGCTCACACGCAAGGTTGGGAAATTCTCACTCATACATATAAAATGTAGATAAAAATATAATTTTTCAGAATACATGCTCACTAAGGCCATTAAAATGGTCTTAAAATCATTCAAAACCAGTTTTCACAGGGGGGTCTTTGCCCCCCTGCCCCCCCAGGCTTCCAGCCCCTGCACCCGGACTTCTCACTCATTTAGACATCCAGGGGTTGACAGCTATGCTATTCTCCACTTTCCATTTGGTGTCTAAGGCAATGTACAGAGTTATCTCCCCTTGGTGACATCTTTCCCAAGCTCCTCACAGCGATAGCCCGTTCGTGGACCTCTCTATACTATCGCTGCCACCAGTGAAAGCTCCCCACTGTGATAGGTGGCTACAACCATGCTTGAAGTTGAACTCGTAACCGACTGACCGTTAAGTTTACAAACAAGTGATGACTGCCGTGATGGAATACTCTTACTCCTGCTAAAAATATTTTCTTGGTTTGTTAGTTTGAATTTCTGTTTCATTAGAACTATCTTGTAATTGGAATAGTAAGAATTTAAGGGGGAAGTCGGTTAATTTTTCAGTTAGTCTGCAATCTCGTACCAATATTTTCAAACAAACAAAAAGGTACATTCGTCTGGAATATATGGTCAGTCAGACACCTTTTCAAAATTAACTGTGATGTTTTTCTCAAAGACATAAAGTATAAACGTAACAACATTTGGGGTTAGAGGGCAAATTTCAAGATAGATTCTTGTAATGGCCGTGCCCCCACTGGTGGCAGCGATGTTACAGAGAAAGGTTCAGGTTCTGTTCTCTTCGATGCAAACTGCTAATTGCTTTATTCATGTACCTGTAAGTCTGTGACTTTAGCCACTAGGCGAAAACCCTGTTCTTATAATTCAGTTTATGCTAGTCCATAGAACAAGACTAAAACATGCTGAAAATATTACCACATTTACATGTTCAGGCCAGAAGAATCCAAACGTTTCAGCTAAAACTACTGGTTCATGATAATATTTAGGTAAGCAGGCAATGAAATTAGTTGTTTTTGAAGGAGCCAAACCAGACTTGCTGGGACTACCAATTTGTTGAACCTCGTATCCCTTTTTTTCTATTTTATTAGTCCTTTGAAGCGGTAAATGTATTAGTCACTTGCCTAACAATGCTTTAACCATGGCTTCTTTGTGTTTGACCGCGCATTAAATAGTTGAATTGTGAGTTAAACACCACTTGGCAATGACAGAGCTTCTTTTCCTCTATCATTTACCTTGATGACAGACTAATCTCATGACAAAAGTGAGTTGCCAATAAACCTGGTAAGTCTGCACTGAAGACTGACACATGTAGACTAGTCAAGACTAATTGATGAAGTACCGTATTCGACGTATTCGCTCTAATAAGCGCCCACAGCGATATTTGCTAATATATTGGCTAGTGAACAGTCCCAATTAGCACCCCTTACGATTGATCAATGTACACAAGACTTATTTATTCACGTATAATACGCACTTGTGTGTAATATGCACACTTAATTAGGGGCTATTAAATTCTGGAAAAATATATCTGTTGTATATAAATATTTCAGGCTGTCAGTATAAACCACAAAATTTATCTTTTAACTCTGTTTCTTTTTCACCAAAATAATATTCTAATAAGAGCCCCCTATTTCTAATTTGGGAGCGCCCTGGGCGCTTATTACATCGAATGCGGTATGTGTCTAATGCAGATGTTATTCTCTGTGTTGAAAGCATGTTTGATTTGGTACCATTTCATTCAATAAATTGGTGTGACTTATTAATTTAGTACCGAAATTCATAAGACTGCATTCATACCGCATTGACTTAAAAAGATTACTGTTATCGCGATATGTGATGACATATATAGAATGATCAATGAAAGCTGTTTTGTAGGTTCAGGGGCTGACCCGAGTCGGCCTCCAAGCAGGAAGGCGAAGGATGTACGGAGGGAGCGGAAGTTACAGAAGCTGTCGGACAAAGGCGAGGACGCTGAGGCAGCAGCAGCACCAAGCAAGGTGATACGTGTGACAGTCTCAGACAAGTAGTCCAGACTCTGGCGCAGGATAATCCCCACACACTCATGCCTACTGTACAAGTCACCTAGTAGGATGTTAGGGTAGTTACAATCTCATTAAAATCAGATCTTAGTTCTCGTTACCGCTAAACAAAGATCTGAGGACATCCCGTTACGGGTCACGTCAGAACAACCTTTCATCCAACAAGTCGGATTGGGTTTTCTTATCATGAAATCTCGAAAAATCTAACATGGGGTATTCTGAATGTCAGTTACGGGCTCTATGACTGAATCCATGCAATCTAGTCAGTCTATTAGCCATTCAGTTTTCAATTTTTTATCAAGAATTTGTCAGAATATGTTTCGAAGAGTAGTCGCCAGTTTGAAACCAGTACAGTACAGCACGACAAAGCTGCCCTCTGATTTGCTAATGTTGATTTCTTGTCAGTCATTCCATTGGTCAAAGTTTGATCTTTGTAGCTGTAGCGAGAACTAAGATCTGATTTGAATGAGATTGGGGTAGTTACGATGTGGATGTGGCTGGCTGTGTGTCCTTGACATGTTATCAACCACTGATTTACCTAGGCCCAGTTCGTGGGATGGTTTGACCATTGCAGACTCTCAGTGTATGAATATGTTTCCAAAGTTAACTGGCCATAAGGGCAAACAAAACACGAGTTCACAAAAAATGTTGCATGCCCTCATCATATTTTACGAGCCCTTCTTTGTGGCTACAGTCAACATTTTGTGTGCTCACCTAAATTGTATTTTGTGTGTTTTGAGATCATAACGCTGAACAATGGCGAAGTTGCTCGGCTGCTTGGTACTGCATGCTTGTCTGATGTTTGTGGTTGTTCTTAGACTTTCAGGCGCATCGCTTATAACACATGTACATTTATATCAGTCATAATCAGTGCACAGCAAAAACCCAGTTTAGTACTATGCGTGGGTTTCTGATAAACTATGATATGTAAAAAAAATGACAACAGACTTTGACATTAAATGACACCTTAACTGACTTGATGATTTGAGAAATAAATATAATTGACTAGAATGTTCAACTTTTGCATTTTCAGCAGCTGCAGCGCAAGGACTCTGAAATGAAGACCTTAGAGGATTACCTCAATGAGCCAGAACAGGCTCCAAGTGTGGCCCACAAACTCCAGGTAGGGGAGACAACTCTAGATCATACACCGTCATAGACTGATGGCCCACAAATTCCAGGTAGGTAGAGACAACTCTAGATCATACACCGTCATACACTGATGGCCCACAAACTCCAGGTAGGGGAGACAACTCTAGATCATACACCGTCATACACTGATGGCCCACAAACTCCAGGTAGGGGAGACAACTCTAGATCATACACCGTCATACACGGATGGCCCACAAACTCCAGGTAGGTAGAGACAACTCTAGATCATACACCGTCATACACGGATGGCCAACAAACTCCAGGTAGGTAGAGACAACTCTAGATCATACACCGTCATACACGGATGGCCCACAAACTCCAGGTAGGTTGAGACAACTCTAGATCATACACCGTCATAAACTAAAGGCCCACAAACTCCAGGTAGGTAGAGACAGCTCTAGATCATACACCGTCATACACTGATGGCCCACAAACTCCAGGTAGGTGGAGACAACTCTAGATCATACAGTCATACACTGATGGCCCACAAACTCCAGGTAGGGGAGACAACTCTAGATCATACAGTCATACACTGATGGCCCACAAACTCCAGGTAGGTAGAGACAACTCTAGATCATACACCGTCATAGACTGATGGCCAACAAACTCCAGGTAGGTGGAGACAACTCTAGATCATACACCGTCATACACGGATGGCCCACAAACTCCAGGTAGGTTGAGACAACTCTAGATCATACACCGTCATACACTAAAGGCCCACAAACTCCAGGTAGGTAGAGACAGCTCTAGATCATACACCGTCATACACTGATGGCCAACAAACTCCAGGTAGGTGGAGACAACTCTAGATCATACAGTCATACACTGATGGCCCACAAACTCCAGGTAGGGGAGACAATTCTAGATCATACAGTCATACACGGATGGCCCACAAACTCCAGGTAGGGGAGACAATTCTAGATCATACACCGTCATACACTGATGGCCCACAAACTCCAGGTAGGGGAGACAATTCTAGATCATACAGTCATACACGGATGGCCCACAAACTCCAGGTAGGGGAGACAATTCTAGATCATACAGTCATACACGGATGGCCCACAAACTCCAGGTAGGGGAGACAATTCTAGATCATACAGTCATACACTGATGGCCCACAAACTCCAGGTAGGTGGAGACAACTCTAGATCATACAGTCATACACTGATGGCCCACAAACTCCAGGTAGGGGAGACAATTCTAGATCATACAGTCATACACGGATGGCCCACAAACTCCAGGTAGGGGAGACAATTCTAGATCATACACCGTCATACACTGATGGCCCACAAACTCCAGGTAGGTGGAGACAACTCTAGATCATACAGTCATACACTGATGGCCCACAAACTCCAGGTAGGGGAGACAACTCTAGATCATACAGTCATACACTGATGGCCCACAAACTCCAGGTAGGTAGAGACAACTCTAGATCATACACCGTCATAGACTGATGGCCAACAAACTCCAGGTAGGTGGAGACAACTCTAGATCATACACCGTCATACACGGATGGCCCACAAACTCCAGGTAGGTTGAGACAACTCTAGATCATACACCGTCATACACTAAAGGCCCACAAACTCCAGGTAGGTAGAGACAGCTCTAGATCATACACCGTCATACACTGATGGCCCACAAACTCCAGGTAGGTGGAGACAACTCTAGATCATACAGTCATACACTGATGGCCCACAAACTCCAGGTAGGGGAGACAATTCTAGATCATACAGTCATACACGGATGGCCCACAAACTCCAGGTAGGGGAGACAATTCTAGATCATACACCGTCATACACTGATGGCCCACAAACTCCAGGTAGGGGAGACAATTCTAGATCATACAGTCATACACGGATGGCCCACAAACTCCAGGTAGGGGAGACAATTCTAGATCATACAGTCATACACGGATGGCCCACAAACTCCAGGTAGGGGAGACAATTCTAGATCATACAGTCATACACGGATGGCCTACAAACTCCAGGTAGGGGAGACAATTCTAGATCATACAGTCATACACGGATGGCCCACAAACTCCAGGTAGGGGAGACAATTCTAGATCATACAGTCATACACGGATGGCCTACAAACTCCAGGTAGGGGAGACAATTCTAGATCATACAGTCATACACGGATGGCCCACAAACTCCAGGTAGGGGAGACAACTCTAGGACATACACAGTCATACACGGATGGCCCACAAACTCCAGGTAGGGGAGACAACTCTAGGACATACACCGTCATACACGGATGGCCCACAAACTCCAGGGAGGATGAAGCCAGATTATCTATACATGTGCTACTTATTTTCCATCACCTGTTATCATTACATTTACCTCTCATTACTTGATTGTAGTCAATCCGGCTTGATAACGGTGTAAGTCTCTATATCTATACGTTGCTAAATGCAATAAACCGGAAGTTTTAATCCATAAAGGTGTATGTTTTCTTATTTACTCACCAACTTGTAGAATGCCAATCAAACAGTAAGTAAATTGATTGGACGACTATTTGTAGTGTTGTGTTGTTATAAAATGGCTAAAAAATGAATCTATGTTGCCGATTTTTCCATGATACTTATCGTAATAGAATGAAGATAAACTACAGGGGACAAGAAGGCTGTATCATTGTGGACCAAGTGACTAATTTGTCCTCTTTCAGATCCGACTTGTACAATCGTCGCCCAAAAGTGAGGAGTTTGTGTCATCGTTCAAAGCTGCCCACACTGTTTATAGCAATTACCAAATGACCATTCACAAAGACCCACCAGGAAAACCCAATCAGAAACAGTATACACGCTTTTTAGTGGACTCTCCTTTGCAGGTAATTTTCATGTCATCTTTTTTCTTTGTAGACCCGACTTGTACTTGTAAACCCCCACTCAAATGACTACAGAACAAGTTTTACTGAATCGCACCAAGTGTTTAAGAAATACCAGATGTCCGTTCATAAAGAGGACGAAACCGACTGTAGTAAACAAAACTTCACGGAATTCTTGGCAAACTCTCCATTGGAGGTAGGCGATCAAACCATGTCACATTTGTAGAAAATCATTCCTTTCCTTTGCTGAGCTTAGGCGCTTGATTTTCCATGACTATTGATCACTGTTGGTCATAATGCAGGATAGTGAACCCCCTGCATGAAGACAACAGCACGCCAACAGTTGCTTTTCATTGGTATTACGTGGCTAATGTGAATGTGTTTTCATGCTTTCAATTAATTCTTTTCTTTTCTGATTTTTGTGTTGTTCCTTTCCAAACAGTTTGACCGTTTTATATTTAAACTCTGCAATCCACCCCTACCCAACTCCCATGTATAACAGGGGGCACGGGTGGCCCAGTCGTCTAAGGAGCTGGATTTGCTGTGCAGAGTTGCGTCCCTTGGTCATGCCAGAAACCTATGATTGTGGGTTCGAATCCCAATTCGACCCGACTGTTTCTAGGTTTGTCAGTACCATACACATGTTCGTGGGTTTCACCGAAGTGGTAAATGTCTGAGACCTGCATCACTTCGGGCTTTCCTCCCACATGAAGCTGACATGCCACGATCTGACTGGAAACCCAACTCACTCACTCACCCATGTATTACATACATTAATGATTGTTGCAATGAACACCATCTTCCTGAGGCAAGAGCGTCCAGTAGCCTTTTAGCCCTCCAGAAGTCTTGTTTCCACGCTTGCCACATCAAGCCCACTTTCCTGTGCTAAATATGATTTGACTATTGCAAATATTGATAGTCAAATTAGAGAACGTTTAACAAAATTAACATCTACGACTGTGCATCTTCGTACGAAAGTGATTTACCGCTACCTGTCTTTGTTGACACGAATGTGTCTTTTTCATCTTTTAAATCCCCCCAACAATTGCTTGTGTGTTTTTGTGTCAGGGGTGAAATCACAAATGTTTTTGTTATCTGATCGACTAGGTCGTTGCCTATTGTAGTCGCCATCTTTGTGAAGATATACACGATAAGGACAGCGATCTGATATTGGATATCGGGTTTTCATTGCAAGGGGCACAACTTATGATCTGCTTGAGTTGGCGCCAGGGTCGCACCAAAAAAGTGGCCTTGATGTGGCAAGGGTAGAAACTAGGCTCTGATATAGGCTAGCGGACATGCTTGTCTCGGGAAGATGAATGAACACATATTACATACACTTGTAGGAATTTTTTTGGGTTTCTCATTGTAATTCCTGCAATCTGATCAGCTGAATTGCATGTTATTACATTCATTTCCCAATGAATGTAAAAAATTAAGCCACACCCATCAAAGCATACTGCTTTTATTACTACGGAATGTTGGGGAATCGCAATATTACAGTCGAGTGAATACCCTTTCTGCTCACGTGTGTCGTCTTGCACAGGACATTAAGCGAAATTCATGCTTAATTATTATCCAAATTACCCTTTGAGACCGAAAGCCAAGAAGGAATGAAACAGCAAACATGCAGGCTCACTCACCTGTGTTTTTCACGCTCGCCTTGGTTCCACAAATTCCAATTCCAAGTCTTCAAGTTTCATTTCTCACCCGCCTTTTTCCAGCTATGTCTTCCCATTCTCAGGGAACTAATGTTTGAATCTGACGGTAACTGACCATGTCATTTGAAACAGCATCCATCTCCCGGACATATTTGTTCCGGTTCGTTACAGTCTGACTGTTGCAGTTCTTCTCACCTCTTGTCTTGATTGACAGGTCCTATGAACTTTATTTTGATCCTACTTTTGGTTGATTGGCTACTGACTTTGTAGGCGTGTCAACTTTTGTGCATAAATTAAACAATAACCTGATTCATGTCACGCTATCATAGGTATTCCTAATTTTTATCAATCTCGTCATTTTTGTCTGCTTTGATATGTGCAACTATTTTTTGTTAAACTATTGTAGATAAAACATGTTTTCGTTGTCAAATTTAATTATAAGGATTGACTGTATATGAATACAAAGTCAATCCTTATATGATTGTGTAACTCCCACTTATTACGTACACTTACAATTATTGTACTGGTAAATCCCACATATTAAATACACTTACAATTGTTGTAAATCCCACATATTACATACACTAACAATTATTGTACCGGTAAATCCCACATATTACATACACTTACAATTGTTGTAACTCACACGTATTACATACACTTACAATTGTTGTAAATCCCACATATTACATACACTTACAATTGTTGTAACTCCCACATATTACATACACTTACAATTGTTGTAAATCCCACGTATTACATACACTTACAATTGTTGTAAATCCCACGTATTACATACACTTACAATTGTTGTAATTCCCACATATTACATTCACTTACAATTGTTGTAAATCCCACGTATTACATACACTTACAATTGTTGTAAATCCCACATATTACATACACTTAAAATTGTTGTAAATCCCACATATTACATACACTTTCAATTGTTGTAAATCCCACATATTACATACACTTACAATTATTGTACCGGTAAATCCCACATATTACATACACTTACAATTGTTGTAAATCCCACATATTACATACACTTACAATTGTTGTAACTCCCACATATTACATACACTTACAATTATTGTACCGGTAAATCCCACATATTACATACACTTACAATTGTTGTAACTCACACATATTACATACACTTACAATTGTTGTAAATCCCATGTATTACATACACTTACAATTGTTGTAAATCCCACGTATTACATACACTTACAATTGTTGTAAATCCCACATATTACATACACTTACAATTGTTGTAACTCACACGTATTACATACACCTACAATTGTTGTAACTCCCACGTATTACATACACTTACAATCGTTGTAACTCCCACGTATTACATACACTTACAATTGTTGTAACTCACACGTATTACATACACCTACAATTGTTGTAACTCACACGTATTACATACACTTACAATCGTTGTAACTCCCACGTATTTCATACACTTACAATTGTTGTAACTCACACGTATTACATACACTTACAATTGTTGTAACTCACACGTATTACGTACACTTACAATTGTTGTAAATCCCATGTATTACATACACTTACAATTGTTGTAAATCCCACGTATTACATACACTTACAATTGTTGTAAATCCCACATATTACATACACTTACAATTGTTGTAACTCCCACATATTACATACACTTACAATTATTGTACCGGTAAATCCCACATATTACATACACTTACAATTGTTGTAACTCACACATATTACATACACTTACAATTGTTGTAAATCCCATGTATTACATACACTTACAATTGTTGTAAATCCCACGTATTACATACACTTACAATTGTTGTAAATCCCACATATTACATACACTTACAATTGTTGTAACTCACACGTATTACATACACCTACAATTGTTGTAACTCCCACGTATTACATACACTTACAATCGTTGTAACTCCCACGTATTACATACACTTACAATTGTTGTAACTCACACGTATTACATACACCTACAATTGTTGTAACTCACACGTATTACATACACTTACAATCGTTGTAACTCCCACGTATTACATACACTTACAATTGTTGTAACTCACACGTATTACATACACTTACAATTGTTGTAACTCACACGTATTACGTACACTTACAATTGTTGTAACACACACGTATTACATACACTTACAATTGTTGTAAATCCCATGTATTACATACACTTACAATTGTTGTAAATCCCACGTATTACATACACTTACAATTGTTGTAAATCCCAAATATTACATACACTTACAATTGTTGTAACTCACACGTATTACATACACTTACAATTGTTGTAACTCACACGTATTACATACACTTACAATTGTTGTAACACACACGTATTACATACACTTACAATTGTTGTAAATCCCATGTATTACATACACTTACAATTGTTGTAAATCCCACGTATTACATACACTTACAATTGTTGTAAATCCCAAATATTACATACACTTACAATTGTTGTAACTCACACGTATTACATACACCTACAATTGTTGTAAATCCCACGTATTACATACACTTACAATTGTTGTAAATCCCACGTATTACATACACTTACAATCGTTTGTAACTTCCACGTATTACATACACTTACAATTGTTGTAAATCCCTCGTATTACGTACACTTACAATTGTTGGAACGCCCACATATTACCATCTTAGGGAGTTAACTGACCATAAAAGTCCAGTTTCAACCATTATCGAACTAGGCTGGAATTATGGAATTATATTTTGGCTGGACTACTGAGTCTATGCACAGTCCACAGTCTGGAGGCTAACATTTTACATACACTTATGATATATAAGTGATATCACCATGATATATATAACGGTTTCACCAAAGTGAGTCACACAACTCTATCATACTTAATTAATATACATTTATGATTCGTCCAAATTCCATGAGTTGTGTCCCACAGGCTTTTCAGAAACCTGTGACTGACTTACAATTGTTGTAACTCATACACTTGCAGCCAATGAGCAAAGATGGAGGTCCAGCACTGGGGTATGGATCATTCCATCAACATTACATCCTCGACGGCAAGATCATCGCAGTTGGCGTCATCGACATCCTTCCTCACTGCATGTCGTCAGTCTACCTCTACTATGATCCGGAGTACAGCTTCTTGTCCCTGGGGACCTACTCAGCTCTGAGGTAAGACTTCATTGACTGTAGTAAGTTTATTGGAAAGCAGCATGTCAGTCATTAGGGATTTATCAAGTCCTGCCTGGGCAGTGTCCCGATATGGGCCCCCATTGTCAGGCAGCAAATACAGTAAACTACATTTATATCAAACACGCTTATAACAAACTGACGGATATAACAAACTGTTTTTCGTCCCATCCATTTGCAGTATATATGCTGTATATATTCTTATAACAAACTATAGTTATAACAAACCAGGGTTACAACAAACTAATATTAGTGGTCCCTTTAAGGTTTGTTACAGGGGCGGTGGGGTAGCCTAGTGGTTAAAGCGTTTGCTCGTCAAACTGAAGACCCGGGTTCGATTCCCACATGGGCACAATGTGTGAAGCCCATTTCTGGTGACCTCTGCCATGATATTGCTGGAATATTGCAAAAAGTGGTGTAAAAAAATACTCACTCACTCACTTGAGTTTGTTACAACCGAAGTTTACTGTAGTAGTAAAAACTTCCGAATTCATGTTCATATAATTGTAACTAATGTAACGGCTTTGTAGTGGTAACTTGGTTTTCACTGATAAAGGACAAATAAGGAGTAAGAGGCTTCAGTGCTTAGCATTGTTTGAATTAAGCATGGCAGTCAAGGGGTCGTCATCATTACCCTCATGTTAAAAGATGAAGTTAGGGATCTCTAGATTCAGTTCCAAATACCATGGAAGAAATTCTCAAGGGCTACTTGACCCACTTAGTTCTAAAATGATTAGTTTTACATTATTCCATTGATTGCAATGTTAATACCGCTGAAATTATGCCAATAAGAACTTTTAAAAATCCCAACTTTTAACAAAATAAAGAACTTTCACAATTTGATTGCCAAGTGTGCTTAGTTTAGAAACCTTGATAAATCTCTGGTCATATGGCTTTCATTATGTCACCTGACTGGTTTCGTTGTTGTATGTGACCCCCTCCGTGGTCTAGTGGTAGAGCATCCCCCAGAGAGCAGAAGGTCTGGGATTCGATCCCAGGCCGTGTCATACCAAAAGATGATACTCTGTCTGATGCTGGGCATTAAGGGCTAAAACAAGGACTGGTCGACTCAGAGTATACTGTGTCTGAGTGGGGTATTCATGTTAAACTGCAGCATGGTATCTCAGTGGGCTAGCACTATAAAATCGGCATAGGTCCGGACTTATACAAGCACAGCCACATACATACGTGCATGCACATCGCTATATAAGTGCAATAATCTTGGATGCGACATTAAACCCTATTTCACCTCACCTAGTGTTGTATGTAACGTTCAGTGATGCTGACTCAGTGATAAATGTTTTGTGTTAGGGAGATAGCATTTGTGCGGGAACTGCAGCAGCAGACGCCGGAGCTGAGGTTCTACTACATGGGCTACTACATTCACTCCTGTCCCAAGATGAGATACAAGGTAACACATTTGAATGAGCAGGACAAATATGCTTGTCTAGTGATCTATTTACTTGTCTTTCATTTTCCATTGTGGGCACGGGAACACAATTGCAATAGGCACCAAAATTCTCTATGTTGTGTCCCAGCAAAAAAGACATCCTGTTGTTTAACAACATGGCAACTTCCATGCAGATTTCGGTTGATTCCGGGTTTTGCGTAACATGTGTACCATCAACTGGGCGTCAACAGATATTTTCCAAATCTTTTCATGTTTGTAGTGAAGGTGCTTGAATGATATTATGCACTTCGCGAGACCCATTTTATTTTTATTGGATCTTGATTATCATTCAGATTGTTTTGACTCGGCGTTTCCATTTTGTTTGAAGCAAATACAAATGATATGAGAGGTGGAATCTGATTGGTCAAAAGGGGGGACATAGAAGGGACATAACTTGTAATAGTCATTGGTGGTGCTACGATTGAGCCACAAAATTCCAGTCTAGTTCGGCAAGGTTTGTTGGTTTGTTGGTTTGTTGTTAACACTGCACTCAGCAATATTCCAGCTATATGACGGCGGTAAATAATCGAGTCTGGACCAGACAATCCCGTGATTGATGTTATGAGCATCGATCCACACAATTGGGATACGATGACATGCATCAACCAAGTCAGCGAGACTGACCGCCCGATCCTGGTAGTCGCCTCTTACGACAGGCAAAGGTCGAAACTGGACTTTTCTAGTCAGTTATCTCCCTTGCATCAGGAAGATGTCACATTCAGAAGCAGCTGACATATGATATTTGTGATTTTCAGAGATAATCTTCAGTGCTATAAATAACTGGCATCACAGACTGAGTGGCTGTACAGATGCTGGGCTGTGTCATGAACTTACATTGATGCTGTTGTTTCAGGGTCAGTACTATCCTTCCTTCCTGGCTTGTCCCGAGGCCTACACCTGGGTCTCCATTGAGAAGTGTCGGCCCAAGCTGGATGCCAGTCGCTATGCCAGACTAGAAGAGGATGGTGTAGGTGTGTGTCCTGAGATCCTAGTTAAGGTCGGATGGTGTAGGTGCGTGTCCTGAGATGCTAGTTAAGGTCGGATGTTGTAGGTGCGTGTCCTGAGATCCTAGTTAAGGTCAGATGGTGTTGGTGCATGTCCTGAGATCCTAGTTACGGTCAGATGGTGTAGGTGCGTGCCACAAAGCTGAACAGAGTGGTGTGGTGGTTAAGAGTCCATGTTGTTGCAGCACATAATCAACCATGAACTAACCCATAGAAGAAGCTTTGTTGTACAGTTTGTTTATTTGTTTGTAGTTTAACGCCGCACTCAGCAATATTCCAGCTATATTACGGCGGTCTGTAAACAATCGAGTCTGGACCAGACAGTCCAGTGATTGACATCATGAGCATCGATCCACGTAATTGGGATACAATGACATGCATCGACCAAGTCAGCGATCCCGTTAGTTGCCTTTTAAAACAAGCAAAATCACCTTTTACGGCAAGCATTGGTTGCTGAAGACCTGTTCTACCCTGGACCTTCACGGGTCCTTTGTCATACACCATATGGCATGTCCACTGCTCTTTTAGTAGAATGAAGATATTACATTAAGAAGCTTTTGGAGTTCTGTGTGCACACAAATCTCATGAAACAAAATCCCTTAACAGAACAAGAGCATGAAGACTGTGTGGTGTAGAGAGAGAGAGAAGATGCTCATGTGTTGTTGGTGTTGCAGGTGATGACAACAGCAACATTGACCTTGATCGAGTACTGGTTCTGTACGACTCTGAGGCCATGCCGTACGAGGTGTACAGTTTCATGAAACCCAACGCTAACGATGAGGCAGAAGTGAAGGAGTATGCCATGTTGGCAGGGAAGACATGTGCGGAGCGGATGTTGCTGTTCAGGAAGTAGATCCTGGGGATTTCAACCAGACTCCAAGATCTCCTGTATATACGGGTGGCAGTCTCGATGTGTCCTCTGTATGCACAGGTTGCTGTCTTGATATGACCTCTGCACATGGGCTGATTATGTTTTGTCTTCTGTATGTACATGGAACAGTCACGATATGTCTTCTGCATGCACAGGAGGCCATCACAAAATGTCTTCTGTATGCACAGGAGGCCATCACGATATGTCTTCTGTATGCACAGGAGGCCATCACAAAATGTCTTCTGTATGCACAGGAGGCCATCACGATATGTCTTCTGTATGCACAGGAGGCCATCACGATGTGTCTTCTGTATGCACAGGAGGCCATCACGATATGTCTTCTGTATGCACAGGAGGCCATCACAATATGTCTTCTGTATGCACGGGAGGCCATCACGATATGTCACGATGTGTCTTCTGTATGCACAGGAGGCCATCACAATATGTCTTCTGTATGCACGGGAGGCCATCACGATATGTCACGATGTGTCTTCTGTATGCACAGGAGGCCATCACGATATGTCTTCTGTATGCACAGGAGGCCATCATGATATGTCTTCTGTATGCTCAGAAGGCCATCATGATGTGTCTTCTGTATGCACAGGAGGCCATCACGATGTGTCTTCTGTATGCACAGGAGGCCATCATGATGTGTCTTCTATATGCACAGGAGGCCATCACGATATGTCTTCTGTATGCACAGGAGGCCATCACGATGTGTCTTCTGTATGCACAGGAGGCCATCACGATATGTCTTCTGTATGCACAGGAGGCCATCACAATATGTCTTCTGTATGCACGGGAGGCCATCACGATATGTCTTCTGTATGCACAGGAGGCCATCACAATATGTCTTCTGTATGCACGGGAGGCCATCACGATATGTCTTCTGTATGCACAGGAGGCCATCACGATATGCCTTCTGTATGCACAGAACCCATCACGATATGCCTTCTGTATCCACGGGAGGCCATCACAAAATGTCTTCTGTATGCACAGGAGGCCATCACGATATGTCTTCTGTATGCACAGGAGGCCATCACGATGTGTCTTCTGTATGCACAGGAGGCCATCACGATATGTCTTCTGTATGCACAGGAGGCCATCACAATATGTCTTCTGTATGCACGGGAGGCCATCACGATATGTCTTCTGTATGCACAGGAGGCCATCATGATATGTCTTCTGTATGCTCAGAAGGCCATCATGATGTGTCTTCTGTATGCACAGGAGGCCATCACGATGTGTCTTCTGTATGCACAGGAGGCCATTATGATATGTCTTCTGTATGCACAGAAGGCCATCATGATGTGTCTTCTATATGCACAGGAGGCCATCACGATATGTCTTCTGTATGCACAGGAGGCCATCACGATGTGTCTTCTGTATGCACAGGAGGCCATCACGATATGTCTTCTGTATGCACAGGAGGCCATCACAATATGTCTTCTGTATGCACGGGAGGCCATCACGATATGTCTTCTGTATGCACAGGAGGCCATCACAATATGTCTTCTGTATGCACGGGAGGCCATCACGATATGTCTTCTGTATGCACAGGAGGCCATCACGATATGCCTTCTGTATGCACAGAACCCATCACGATATGCCTTCTGTATCCACGGGAGGCCATCACGATATGTCTTCTGTATGCACAGGAGGCCATCACAATATGTCTTCTGTATGCACGGGAGGCCATCACGATATGTCTTCTGTATGCATGGGAGGCCATCACGATATGTCTTCTGTATGCACAGGAGGCCATCACAATATGTCTTCTGTATGCACGGGAGGCCATCACGATATGTCTTCTGTATGCACAGGAGGCCATCATGATATGTCTTCTGTATGCTCAGAAGGCCGTCATGATGTGTCTTCTGTATGCACAGGAGGCCATCACGATGTGTCTTCTGTATGCACAGGAGGCCATCACAATATGTCTTCTGTATGCACGGGAGGCCATTACGATATGCCTTCTGTACGCACAGAACCCATCACGATATGCCTTCTGTATGCACAGGAGGCCATCACGATGTGTCTTCTGTATGCACAGGAGGCCATCACAATATGTCTTCTGTATGCACGGGAGGCCATCATGATATGTCTTCTGTATGCACAGGAGGCCATCACAATATGTCTTCTGTATGCACGGGAGGCCATCATGATATGTCTTCTGTATGCACAGGAGGCCATCACAATATGTCTTCTGTATGCACGGGAGGCCATCATGATATGTCTTCTGTATGCACAGGAGGCCATCACAATATGTCTTCTGTATGCACAGAACCCATCACGATATGCCTTCTGTATGCACAGGAGGCCATCACGATATGTCTTCTGTATGCACAGGAGGCCATCACAATATGTCTTCTGTATGCACGGGAGGCCATCATGATATGTCTTCTGTATGCACAGGAGGCCATCATGATATGTCTTCTGTATGCACAGGAGGCCATCACGATGTGTCTTCTGTATGCACAGGAGGCCATCACGATGTGTCTTCTGTATGCACGGGAGGCCATTACGATATGCCTTCTGTATGCACAGAACCCATCACGATATGCCTTCTGTATGCACAGGAGGCCATCACGATGTGTCTTCTGTATCCCTAGGTCATTATATGTTGGGGCAGTGGGCAGTGAGGAAGCCTGTGTTGAACTCCGCCAATGTGGGAGGCCTCTTCTTTGTCTTCCCTGTCATTTTATAGTTGCAATATGGCTAAATATGGCAAACCTCCTTACTCGCTTATTCTGAACACATGGACAACAGTTGCAATGTCTTAACTATACACTTTCATATAAGTGGAGCTTGGGAAAATTATATCAGTAATTATAAGTAATGTTTGTGCACTAAATGGCTTTGTCTGAAGCAAACGGAGAGATTGCTACACTTCTGCTTGATTGAACTTATTGAAACAATTCTATATTTATACCAGATGCAGTTTTTTCTTTCGTGAAGTTGTGTATTTGCCTGTGTAGGAGTATCAGATACATGCCCATGTAGTGGTAGAAGTAGATTTGTATACATCATTCAGTATCATTAACAATCTGGTACTCAACCACACGAGATATTGTTGTGTGATCTCAGAGTTTCGTATTGTTTTTCTTTGTTTTTTATGTGTATTGGATGTTGATTGTATAGAGATGTACATGTTGATGTCCCCGTGGTGTGATGGGACCCTATTTATGCTTTGCTAGACTAGGCTAGAGAAACTGATTTGACACCAACGCAAGGCTGTGATTTGTAGTGAAACGTGTGTGAGAATTGGATCTTTGGTCGAAATGTGTCAAAGATTTGTTTGGCTTCAAACAGACTAAAGTTATTCAAGAGAATTAGCCACCATTTCTTTAGATACCGTTTTTGCCATAATAAGCACCATGGACACTTTGAAAATTGACAAAGTGAGGCAACATTTAAAATCATACAATGTAAGTAAATGTTTTACCTTACCTGACGCTACACTGTGCTATAGGTGTAGCGTCAGGTAAGTATAAAAACATTGCATTTAATCAGAAATGCTCATTGACGCAACTAATACATTAGTGATCCCAATTACTGGGCAGCTACATTCTCCTTCTACACTTGTGTTCTCGGGAAGAAAATATCGACTGTTTTGTAAATTTTCTGTCAATGAGTCCAAAAAGTTAATTACAGATTTGACTAGAAGTTTGTAAAGGGTGCTTATTCGCACAGGCAGATTTGTGGTACCAGGACATCTTACCCGAAACAAATTGTGACATTCACGCTAGGACTCGCAGACTGATCGATCTTGATATTCAATTACCTAAATTATATAACCGCCTCTGTGGTCTAGTGGTAGAGCGTCCGCCCGGAGAGCAGAAGGTCCTGGTTCAATCCCCGGCCGCGTCATACCAAAAGACGTTAAAAGATGGTACTTGTTGTTACTCTGTCTGGCGCTCGGCATTAAGGGGCTAAAACAAGGACTGGTCGGCTCGGAGTCAGTATACTGTGTCTGAGTGGGGTATTCATGTTAAACTGCGGCATGGTATCTCAGTGAGCTAGCACTATAAATCGGCATCAGTCCGGACTAGTACAAGCAGCCACACACACACACACACGTGCATGCACGTCGCTATATAAGTGCAATAATCTTGGACGTGACGTTAAACCCCATCTCACCTCACCACCTCACCTCACCTCACCTAAATTAAGTAATAGATGAGACAACCTTGAGTAATTACAGATCCTTGTGATGTTACTTAGGACAATGTTTTAAACAACATGCACTCACTTGCCAATATATGAGCATGAACTACTGCCATGACAAAAGACTTTCAGCGGCTTTCGACAGTTTACTTCCACTGCACCAATGTCAAGGTCATGATCAGTCTTGTATTCCACACAACTAGTAATTATTCTTAAAAAACATATTAGACAAAAACAAAACTTATTTCCTTTCATTACAACAAACGGGATCGGGTGGTCAGGCTCGCTGACTTGGTTGAAGCATGTCATCGATCCCAATTGCGTGGATCGATGCTCATGATATCAGTCACTGGATTGTCTGGTCCAGAGTTGATTATTTACAGACCGCCGTCATACAGCTGGAGTATTGCTGAGTGTGGCGTTAAACAACAAACCAACCATTCATAACAACTACTTTCACTGGATGCCAGCTGGGCACAGTGGACAGGAGGGACAATGTTTTTTTAATGCCTTTTGTTAATCTTTTTAAGGTTTGTAAGGTTGGCCGCCCAGTGGCAGTCATAGTCAGGAGACTCTTGAGTGTGTGTTCTTATTGTAGATAACATATTTTATGCTCTATGTGATAGTTCTGTGTGGCTGGCTGTGTTGTTGTTAGTTCGAACCCCAGTAGATTGTTACACTCACTCAATCATGGATGAATCGCGTCCTCCAGATCCAGGCATCTGGATGAGCCTGATGTAGCTGTTGATGACACTGCTGTGATAATGTGCCACTTCATGCAGGAATGGTAGAAATGAAATCATTGGATTATTCACCAGCTGGTATCTCACAAGAATCATGGGCTTTGTTACCAGCAGTCTTTGCAATTCATGCTTGTCTGCTGGCCTGAGACTACCAAGTTGCGACCAGGACAACTAAACATCCAATAATGGTAGTCCTGAAGGGCTAGCAACATATGAGGGCTATAACACTTCAACAGTGATAGAAACTAACTGTTTTAGTCCACTAGTCCTTATGATGTTCACATATAGCAAAACCCTTTAAAAGGGCAAAGTTCTATAGTATGATACCTTAACTATTAGGTAGTTTGGCAAGGACTATAGGACTAGTGACAATTTCTAACACTGCTTCAAAAGTTCTCAATGCTGTGATCTTAGAACCATAGTCTATGAACTCTGAAGACTTGTGACATCACTTTTGGATTAGTCCTCTGGACTTGACTTTAGAAAAACACAAACTTCTAAGGCTGACCAGTTGTTTTGTTCTGTTTCATGAGGACTGAAGCATTACACACATATTTGTTAATCCAGCAGACTAACAACTGTCATTAGGACATAGACTATGCCTTTATCCACCACCCTTATGCTGAGAACTATGATACCGTAGCACCAGGCAATGGGCAAAAAGGTCATGGGTACAGATTTAATAGCACGCTTTGTTTTAATGTTTGAAACACTTTAACCTGTTGTCAAAGCTTGATGGGGCACAGTGGCTTAGTGGTCTGAGGCAGTGCAAATTACAGCAGAGTTGTGTCCCTTAGCCAGGCCAGGAGCCAGTTCTTATTGGTTCAAATCCAGAGTTGGTTTGTCAACACCATACCCCTTGGTTTCGCTAGAGTGGTCATCATCTATACTGCTCTAGCCACAATATATGCTACTCTAAAGAAGCTAAAGAGCACATGACTATTTCACATGATTATAGTTAATCTGTCATGGGATGTTCATGGCATGACAGATTAACAATACTCACATGGAAAAAATGGCTGTTCTTTATCATGTTTATCTTCTTTTGAGTAGTATAACTGATGCTATTTAAGGTGCTGTCACAAGTCAACCATCCCCAAAGCTAGACATCCCATCATGGTGTATGTTACAGCAATGACTGCTCACTTCTATGCTTCTATAGACAAACCCCCCACACGACATCTGTGTTTAGGACTGCTTCTGTGAAGGTCTCTGTACTGACTGTCTCAAGTGTGTATGTTGAAGTTAGTCAAGCCTCAATAAAAACATACTTCTTTCTTTTTGTGCATTTTGTTTGTTTCAATGGTTGGGTGACGTTTGTGATGGGGTTTGTGTTGATGATGATGGTTGCATCTTCCCGAGGCAAGTGAGTTAACTCGCTTTAAAAGTCGTTTCCACCTTTACCGAACTAGGCGCAATTATGGAGTTATATTTTGGCTTGACTAATGAGTCTATGCATAGTCCAATTCGTTTGATTGCAGGATATGCAGAGCATATGTACCGTCAACTGGGCATCAACAGATATTTTCCGAATTTTTTCATGTTTATAATCAAGATGCTCAAGTGATTTAATGCCCTTCCCAAGGTAAAACCCGTTTTGTCACAATAAGGAACCTATTATCGATGAATCATCTTGACTGGCCGCCGCAATTTTGTTTGATGCAAGATATATGAAAGGTAGAATCTGATTGGTCAGTAGTGGGGACATAGAAGGGACATGACTTGTAATGGCCACGGGTGGCTCTACTATCAAGCCCAGAAATTCCTGCCTAGTTCGACAAGGGTGTAAACTGGACTTTCACAGTCAATTAACTGCCTTGCCTCCGGAGGATGGCGTCCTTGGTGGAGGAAATGGTACTGAACACAAAACCAAGCACCACCCATCAAGCACAGCATACGAAGCACATGTTGTGTTGAAGAGGAACCGTGCGCATATGTCGAGGGCTCAGGTTGCTCAGCGACATGTCAAGGTTCATATTTGCCTCTGACTGCTGTCCTCATTTGTTGGTATTCACTTCCAGATTCATCTTGATGTTGATTCACAATTTGGCAGCACCAAAACCAGGTTTGCTGGTTGCCCAACAGTGGCAAACAGGTACAATCTGGGCCACTCCAGGTGTTATCAGAAACTATACTGAAGGATTGAGTCATGTACGGCTTAAACAAATAAAATAATTGGTTCTCAGGCAATGGCTTTTAAAAATATAGTGCGGGTGGGTGGTGTGTTTTTTTGGGTTGTTCAAGCTAGTATGTAACCAAATAAACAGATGTGTAACCAAATAAACAGATGTGTAACCAAACAAACAGATGTGTAACCAAATAAACAGATGTGTAACCAAACAAACAGATGTGTAACCAAACAAACAGATGTGTAATCAAACAAACAGATGTGTAACCAAACAAACAGATGTGTAATCAAACAAACAGATGTGTAACCAAACAGATGTGTAACCAAACAAACAGATGTGTAACCAAACAAACAGATGTGTAACCAAATAAACAGATGTGTAACCAAACAAACAGATGTGTAATCAAACAAACAGATTTGTAACCAAACAGATGTGTAACCAAACAAACAGATGTGTAACCAAATAAACATGTGTAACAAAACAAACAGTAGTGTAAAAGGGCCTCCCTTCATAAATGTATTCCTTGATGAGTAAAATACTGGAATACAGTATTTGACTACTGTTAGGCTTGGAATATTAAAGGATTTTTGTTTTTCTGTTTTAAAAATGGAAATAAAAATGAAACGTGCTGTGAACATTATGATGATGCGGGTAGTGCCTGAGAACCAAGACTATTATTTTTTTGGGCCTAAGTCAAACACACAGTGAAATGCAGATCAATCGGGAAGGTGTGCTATCAGAGAAGGGAATATGACATTCAAGTAGGTTGGTGGTGGAAAAACCAACAGTTTCAGTTTTAGATTCCGAGAATGTGTTCTGTGTTAGGGCAGAGGTAAGGGAGATAACTCACACGGGAGTGTTGCCAACATGGCCAAAGAGCATTCTATTATTAACCATTATGAAACCTGTCAGGACTATAAAAACGGCTTACTGAATGAGATGAGGTGTGAATTTTATCAGAAGTTCAATCATTGTTAAACTGATTAATTCTGTGAGATAACAAAAGCATTGAATTTTAGTTATGGAATATAACAACATGATAGTAACTTAGACAAACCCTTAGTCTCTGAAGGGGGCGGTCGGGTAGCCTAGTTTAAAGCGTTCGCTCGTCACCCCAAAGACCCGGGTTCGATTCCCGACATGGGTACAATGTGTGAAGCCCATTTCTGGTGTCCCCAACGTGATATTGCTAAAAGCAGCGTAAAACCATACTCACTTAGTCTCTGAAAATAAATTATTTTGATAGAAACAACAATTACATTTAGAAAGAAAGAACCCCAGTGAGATGGGAGTGAATCTGTGGAGACTTCAGGGCTATAGCAATACAGTTAGGGCTGGGCAGAAGGGAAACTAATATTGTTCAGGATCTAGAGAGGCTATATAGTAACTCGATGTAGCAGAATTCAACCAAATTGGTATTCAAAATTTTATATTTTAACGTTTGTGAAAATTGGTTTTGTGGTTAAGTTTGAGCTGGACAACAAACTGTAAAATACAGCACAAGAAAATAAGATTTTTTGTTGCATTTATTTTTCTATCCATAAAAAAATAATTTGTGTTGTGCTCATGTGCAGTATATTGTGCTTGAAGTTATACATAGTTGGAATTTTGCTGAGTGCCGCATTAAACAACCAACCAACCAAACAAACAACCTTGCTGTGACATGTCACTTGATGTCCTTGTGACAGAATACTCCAACCGGATCTATCATCACCGACATGTCACCAACATGTCCATCCTTCCTCCAAGCTCAGAGACACAGCAACACATCCTGATGAGACCGCCTCCCTGGTAGTGGTAGATCACAGTCGATCACAGTCCGAGTCATACCTAAAGACGTTAATATATGGTACTTGTTGTTACCCTGCCTGGCGCTTGGTGTTAAGGGGATAAAGCAGGGACTAGTCGGCTAGGACTCGGCATACTGTGTCTGAGTGGGGTACTCATGTTAAACTGCGGCATGGTATCTCAGTGGGCTTGCACTATTAATCAGCATCAGTCCGGACTAGTACAAGCAGCAACACACACACATACACGTGCATGCGCATCCCTATATAAGTGCAATAATCTTGGACGCGACGTTAAACCCAATTTCACCTCACCACACCTCCTGATGACTGCCAAAATGTATGTTGTTGATGAAGATTATCTCCCGTCTGAAGGGGAAAATATTGGGAGTTTTTTTAAATTAATAATTTGTTGCAGATAATACTTGTAACGATTAAGTTTGTTTTACCATAAAAAAAGGAAAAGTACTTGTCACTGGATTTCCGGAACAAAATATTTGTGCAAAAATATAACAAATTGTCCGCTTTTTCTTTCACAGAAAAATAATAAGCAGTAATTTTGTGTCTGGAATAAGATAAAAAACATGGAATTATTTCTGTGGCATCTTCTTTCATCCAAGCAACTGTTACCTGAAACCCAAAAATATAAACAAAACATGATTAAAAAGACATCAACAAAATGGAATAAATGCTTCATAAATATGAAACAGTTATCTATGCTGTTTGTGGATATGAGTATGTAACTGTTTCTCTGACATTGGACCCGTGAAGATCCGGGGTAGAATAGGTACTTCAGCAATTCATGCTTCCCATAAAAGGCGACCAACGGGATCGGGTGGTCAGGCTCGCTGACTTGGTTGATGCATGTCATTGTATCCAAATTGCGTGGATCAATGCTCATGATGTCAATCACTGGATTGTCTGGTCCAGACTCGATAATTTTTAAGGGCGCCGTCAAATAGCTGGAATATTGCTGATTTCGGCGTTAAACAACAAACAAACAAACTCTGACAGTGTGCGTGTGTTGGGTTTAACGCAATTTCACGAGCAATGGCGTTGACTATAAAAGTCCATTTTCCACCCTCGCCGAACGAGGCTGGAATTTGATTGACAAGGCGATTTTGATTGGACTATGCATAGACTCGTTAGTCTAACCAAAACGTAAATCAGGAATTCCATCCTAATTCGGCAATATGGAAACTGGACATCCATAGTGAGTTAACGCCCTTGCCTGAAAGTGGGTTAAACGCCGCTTTTAACAGGATGCAGGTCTCCAACGTTTATCACTTTGGTGAAACCCACGAGTGCGCTTATTAAGAAAGCAATCAACTTTACGGGTATATATTGTGCTGACTTATCTAGGAACATAATCAGGGCGAATCTGCTGCGACAGACTTTGCAAGGCAACAGCATTAAGGAATTGAAGTTGGCAAGAACAACCGTATAGGGATAATTTGTTGTCATTTTAAAAACTATTTGAACTTGTCGATAATAACTGAAATGGAAATATAAATACACCATCGCAGGTTAAAAAAAGTTCACGAAACACTATTAAGAATATTAATACTATGACACATTTAAAGATGTACTTAATTTCAAACCATTCAGAATGTGTCACTGATAGTGTGATAGATGCTTGATATGTAACTACTGAATCTAACATGTCAATTGTGAATTCTCTCATTCTTTGTGTAATAGCATTGTAACAACTAATTTAAGAAGTCTATTGCGCATTTTGATGTACTGATAGACATAGTTCTAATTCCAGGATGGAATTTGTCCCAAGTAAGAAATGCGTGTCGTAGGAGAAAACTTAATGAATCGAATGGTTTGGATGAGTGACTTGGTTGGTAGCGTGTAAATGTACCTGGTAAGGTGGATCGGTGCTCAAACACTGGGTCATCTTCCCAGACTCGTATACATGGAACATTGCAGCGTGCAGCATTAAACTACCCCCACCCTCCCAATACACAGGTGTGTCCAGTCCCCACCCCAACCCTCCCCATACACAGGTGTGTCCAGTCCACCCCCCCTCCACCCCCACCCTCCCCATACACAGGTGTGTCCAGTCCACCCCCCCTCCACCCCCACCCTCCCCATACACAGGTGTGTCCAGTCCACCCCCCCTCCACCCCCACCCTCCCCATACACAGGTATGTCCAGTCCACCCCCCCTCCACCCCCACCCTCCCCATACACAGGTGTGTCCAGTCCACCCCCACCCCCTCCACCCCCACCCTCCCCATACACAGGTGTGTCCAGTCCCCACCACATACCCTCAAGTTGTGTCCAGTCCCAACCCCCACCACATACCCTCAAGCTGTGTCCAGTCCCCACCACATACCCTCAAGTTGTGTCCAGTCTCCACCACATACTCTCAAGTTGTGTCCAGTCTCCACCACATACCCTCAAGTTGTGTCCAGTCCTCACCGCATACCCTCAAGTTGTGTCCAGTCCCCACCACATACCCTCAAGTTGTGTCCAGTCCCCACCACATACCCTCAAGTTGTGTCCAGTCCCAACCCCCACCACATACCCTCAAGCTGTGTCCAGTCCCCACCACATACCCTCAAGTTGTGTCCAGTCTCCACCACATACTCTCAAGTTGTGTCCAGTCCCAACCCCCACCACATACCCTCAAGTTGTGTCCAGTCCCCACCACATACCCTCAAGTTGTGTCCAGTCCCCACTACATACCCTCAAGTTGTGTCCAGTCCCCACCACATACCCTCAAGTTGTGTCCAGTCCCCACCACATACCCTCAGGTTGTGTCCAGTCTCCACCACATACTCTCAAGTTGTGTCCAGTCTCCACCACATACCCTCAAGTTGTGTCCAGTCCCCACCACATACCCTCAAGTTGTGTCCAGTCCCCACCACATACCCTCAAGTTGTGTCCAGTCCCCACCACATACCCTCAAGTTGTGTCCAGTCTCCACCACATACCCTCAAGTTGTGTCCAGTCTCCACCACATACCCTCAAGTTGTGTCCAGTCCCCACCCCCACCACATACCCTCAAGTTGTGTCCAGTCCCCACCACATACTCTCAAGTTGTGTCCAGTCCCCACCACATACCCTCAAGTTGTGTTCAGTCTCCACCACATACCCTCAGGTTGTGTCCAGTCTCCACCACATACGCTCAAGTTGTGTCCAGTCCCAACCCCCACCACATACCCTCAAGCTGTGTCCAGTCCCCACCACATACCCTCAAGCTGTGTCCAGTCCCCACCACATACCCTCAAGCTGTGTCCAGTCCCCACCACATACCCTCAAGTTGTGTCCAGTCCCCACCACATACCCTCAAGTTGTGTCCAGTCCCCACCACATACCCTCAAGTTGTGTCCAGTCTCCACCACATACCCTCAAGTTGTGTCCAGTCTCCACCACATACTCTCAAGTTGTGTCCAGTCTCCACCACATACCCTCAAGTATTGTCCAGTCTCCACCACATACTCTCAAGTTGTGTCCAGTCCTCAACGCATACCCTCAAGCTGTGTCCAGTCCTCACCGCATACCCTCAAGTTGTGTCCAGTCCCCACCACATTCCCTCAAGTTGTGTCCAGTCCCCACCACATACCCTCAAGTTGTGTCCAGTCCCCACCACATACCCTCAAGTTGTGTCCAGTCTCCACCACATACTCTCAAGTTGTGTCCAGTCCCCACCCCCACCACATACCCTCAAGTTGTGTCCAGTCCCCACCACATACTCTCAAGTTGTGTCCAGTCCCCACCACATACCCTCAAGTTGTGTCCAGTCTCCACCACATACTCTCAAGTTGCGTCCAGTCCCAACCCCCACCACATACCCTCAAGCTGTGTCCAGTCCCCACCACATACCCTCAAGTTGTGTCCAGTCCCCACCACATACCCTCAAGTTGTGTCCAGTCCCCACCACATACCCTCAAGTTGTGTCCAGTCTCCACCACATACCCTCAAGTTGTGTCCAGTCTCCACCACATACTCTCAAGTTGTGTCCAGTCTCCACCACATACCCTCAAGTTGTGTCCAGTCCCCACCACATACCCTCAAGTTGTGTCCAGTCTCCACCACATACCCTCAAGTTGTGTCCAGTCTCCACCACATACCCTCAAGTTGTGTCCAGTCCTCAACGCATACCCTCAAGCTGTGTCCAGTCATCACCGCATACCCTCAAGTTGTGTCCAGTCCCCACCACATACCCTAAAGTTGTGTCCAGTCTCCACCACATACCCTCAAGTTGTGTCCAGTCTCCACCACATACCCTCAAGTTGTGTCCAGTCCCCACCCCCACCACATACCCTCAAGTTGTGTCCAGTCCCCACCACATACTCTCAAGTTGTGTCCAGTCCCCACCACATACCCTCAAGTTGTGTTCAGTCTCCACCACATACCCTCAGGTTGTGTCCAGTCTCCACCACATACTCTCAAGTTGCGTCCAGTCCCAACCCCCACCACATACCCTCAAGCTGTGTCCAGTCCCCTCCACATACCCTCAAGTTGTGTCCAGTCCCCACCACATACCCTCAAGTTGTGTCCAGTCCCCACCACATACCCTCAAGTTGTGTCCAGTCTCCACCACATACTCTCAAGTTGCGTCCAGTCCCAACCCCCACCACATACCCTCAAGCTGTGTCCAGTCCCCTCCACATACCCTCAAGTTGTGTCCAGTCCCCACCACATACCCTCAAGTTGTGTCCAGTCCCCACCACATACCCTCAACTTGTGTCCAGTCCCCTCCACATACCCTCAAGTTGTGTCCAGTCCCCACCACATACCCTCAAGTTGTGTCCAGTCTCCACCACATACCCTCAAGTTGTGTCCAGTCCCCACCACATACCCTCAAGTTGTGTCCAGTCTCCACCACATACCCTCAAGTTGTGTCCAGTCTCCACCACATACTCTCAAGTTGTGTCCAGTCTCCACCACATACCCTCAAGTTGTGTCCAGTCTCCACCACATACCCTCAAGTTGTGTCCAGTCCCCACCACATACCCTCAAGTTGTGTCCAGTCTCCACCACATAACCTCAAATTGTATCCAGTCCCCACCACTTATTATAAAACAACAATGACTGATTTCATAATTTATGGACATTCTGAAATAAAATTCTAACTATTAAATAGATATTCCAATTTCAATATACACAAGATCAAGCAGTATCTATAACATCTTGGTATCCTACTCAACGTCAGTCAAACGATGCAAGCTCTTTGTGCGCAGTGCATTTAACTTTCAGCTGTTGTAACCTTATTCTAAAATTAGTTCGGGATTACCAGGTTACAATGACCTGCTGATAGCAGTTTGTCCATGTGTGGTTGGACTGCAGTGTTAAACACCAAAATGATACATAATATCTGAATACACCCGTCAGATACAAGCCGGATGTTATATGAATACACACACACATCCACACACTGATCACCTGTGTCTGGTAATGAGTCTGATAGCGCCAATAACACCTCCCAGGCCAAGATGAAGGTCAGACGAGAAGCTTCTTTAGGGGAATCCCCTTTGGGAAAACCAGCAGTTTCCCACACTGCAGTCCCCTGGCTATCAATAGGAGTGACAGGGCTGTGCATATAAGATATGACGAACTCACATCATTGAATACTACTGAACAAGATGGAAGAACATAGACATGTAAGCATGGTAAGGGCAGTTTTCATTCTTCTGATCAAAATATGTTGTTGGTGCATCAAGTATAATATGTTAGGATTTCAATAATTGTCTAACAGAAATTGGATTGTTTATTGTAATAGACCTGGAATCTCTTTAAGTGGCATTCAAGGGACTGACAGGCATCGTGGTATCTAAGTGTCTTACCTCTCAAGGTTTTCTTCCCAGCAGTTACTGCACGTCTAATATCACTTTATTAGTCAAGACAAACATATATTGTTACATTTTGACACTCGTAATTACAGGTATTGTTTACAGTGATCGCTATAGTTCACAATTCATGTACTTACCTCAACGTAATTGTTCTCAAAACATCAAACAGGTTACTTGGTCACTATATGTGTGCAATCAAATAACAATGTTACCACCTGAGAATTCAATTAGAAAATGCATGTAAATGTTTTAAACAGCATCAGATCAGCTATATATTCATTGGCTATTATTCTTGTAGTTAGACATTAGATAGTGAAAATCTAAAATTATGCAAGGAAATGTATTGATTCTGATTTTAATCCAACCCTCACTTCAGACAAAAATAACATGCTCGTTTTGTCTTCTTAGTTTTTTCAGAATTCATCAGAATCGTGGATATCACTGAAAACAAATAAATACTCCCGTCCAGTATTGAGTGTACACATCAAGTGTGGGAAGGATATATCCCACGTGATGCTTGCAGTCAACAACCGACGGGGGTCACTCAAGCACCTGTTTGTTCTGAAGGCTGGCAAGGATATGGAGCGGTCAGTCCCGGATCTGGTCACAGTCCAGGTGTTCGGACTGAAGATTGACACTGGACAGAGCGGCGACAGATACCCCTTTGCAACATCGTATACTGTGGAAACAACTCGCAAACTTGTCATCTCTCCAACTTACCAGACACAAGGTATGAGAAAATTGTTTTATTTAACAAATTATACAGAAATCGTGATCTGTTCTTATATATAAGTCATAACTGTTTTGTAATCATAATTGATCAGTAGAATTTTAGGTGAATTTATGTTATGTTAATCTCATTCAGGTTAAATGTATGTCTGTTGAGAACATTTCACTTAGACTGAAGAAAACCTGTTTCATGTCTTCATTTGATCCTCAAACACCCTCCCACTGAACAGGGTGGAACACTACGTTTTGAAGCTTAACTACACAATGAAACATTTTCTAACATGACAGTACTTTTTAAAGAAATTCTAGATTAACAAATTTATGAACAGGGTCCGGTCTTGTGAGGGTCTACTGTGCATATCTGACAGCAAAACTGTGACACAATACATGGAATGAACACAATTTTGTTTTTTGGATATGTAGTCTATCAAAGCAAATGACAAATGTGATCTTACAAAATGTCTCAACCCCTTGTATATATTTTCAGGAAACGTATTGTGCCATTTCCCTTACTAATATCATACACCATGCCCTTTGATGTCCTTGTATTGTTGTACAGACACTCGAACTTACTATAGGATACTTGGGTGGTGCATGACATTTGGAGATGCACCGATATTTGAATCAGAAGCCCAGTGAAACACGAATGTTTGGGCAAAATATTTCAAGTTCATATACATGGCATATTTCCTTCACATGTATGAACAATAAGAATAATAATGTTTTCCTCTTTGTTTCACAGAGTTGGACTTGAGTTGTGGGTTCTCCTCTCTTGGTCACGTGATGCACCTGTTGGGGGAGACTCAGGTGAGTGAGGAGTCCTCGTGTCTTGCCGTTTGTTCTGTCTGTGTTGTCCAGCCACATAGAGTCTGACGAGAAGCATTTAAAAACATGAGTATTACTATACGTTCTGAATAGATACACACATGTATTCTTCAGTTTTAATTGGATATCCCTGTTTTGACTCACATTTAAGGAAACAAATTGAGATTTTGTCTTTGGTATTCTGTATTTTATCAGGATATGAAATTATCAAACTTTGTTTGAGAAATTGAAGACCCTTCATTTTGATGACAAAATGTCAATTTCAGGATCGATTAGAGATGGAGGTGGTACACAAGCCACCACTGGACTACAGCCTCAAGCCTACAGGACCTTCTGACAGCGAGGCAGGTCTGTGTGTTGTGTTCTGTGAGAGAAGTCAGAAGGAGTACGTTGTGATGTCGTCTGCCCCGGTCAGCGCCAGCATCCCACTCCTGCCTGTCTGTCGGTCCAGGACCAACTACAAGGTCAAGGTCGTGGGACTCACAGGTTCCAGTGTGGACCAAACTGGACAACGGTCAGCTGTGTGTCAGGACTACACACCAACTGGTGGATCAGACACCATCACTGTCAAGACATGTAAGTTGACTTTGCTTTCATTTGTCAACAATAAGTGAGTTTAAACTCCACTTTCAACTGTGTTTTGGTGAGGAAAGAGAGGAAAAGGTTGTTGTGTGTTCTAGAATCGGCTCAAGTCGTCAAATGTCAATGATTAAAAAGATTTCACTGTATACCTGCCTGTGAATATGTCACGTGAATATACATAAAGTTAACGTTTATTTTGAATATTCCCCTTTCCTCCCTTGTTTACAGGCAATACTAAGGCAGATCTCCAGCAGCTTCTGGACAAAGCAAAGACCTTTTGTTCCAAGAACCTGCAAACTCCAGGCAGATATAATGTTACGAGGTTCTACCGCAACAAACCTGAGTCCTACTATGATAACATCATGTCCAACAGAGCTGGAGTGATGGAGAAGTACCTGAAGGACAACAATGGCGACCCATATTGTCCAATCAACAACACAATCAATGGCCTCTTCTTCAGCGGATCAAAGAACAAAAAGAAAATACCGAACTTCTCCTTCTTCGGAAACAGACGTCTTTTCATCCCGGTGGAGGAACTGTTCACATCAGACACCAGGATGTACTTCTCAGACTTTTACTGTCACAAGGAAACACATTACGTCACAGTTGTGGTCACAAAGAGGGGATCAGCTGAAGACAGATTCAGTGAGGGGAGGCTTCCTGAACTGGATTTGCACCTCAACCCATTTTTCACTGTCAGAGAAGGCCCCACACTCATGTCACAGTTTGTATCATGCTCACGAAAAGTTGAAGACATTCTTAGAGGATACTCGAGAAGTTCCATGTCCAGACAGAAAGATGTTCCGAAGACGTTCAAGATGGTGTCTGTCAACAAGTTCCATGTGGAGTTTCTGTACACGGAGGATGTCGACATCAGGGGCTTGATGGACAAGTGTGGGGAGGACAAGGTGTATTTTAAACATGTCCGTGTCCGTGGGAGGGGACGCAGCAAGAAGGAGGGAATTCCTAAGAAGCTTGACTGTCCAGACTGCAGCTTTGACCCTTAACCCGAACATGATGAGTTGCATCCAAGGGGTGACATGAAATGAGGTTATATGCCTGTATGACATCACGCTAACCATTTTTGGAGAACACCTGGTATCGTCACTATTTGATAGTGATTCATAAACACCTGGTGTCGTCACTATTTGATAGTGATTCATAAACACCTGGTGTCGTCACTATTTGATAGTGCTTCATAAACACAAACTCGTGATAGAGTCTGATTCTTACGGTCGACGCCTCTTTTAGCAGAGACTTCTTTTGAATATGGAAGGGCTTTCATTCTCTTAATGACAGAACAAATGCCTTTTGTGAATGCCAACTGAATTATATGCCTCCTCTATGTGCTATTTGTAATATGTGTTGTGTTACTTTAATCTTATTTGAATGAATCTGACTGATAGTATAACCGTAGGCTTCAGAATTGTTTCTGCCTATATTTATCTCTTATCATCGTGATCATTGCCATACATATTTTGTGTTTAATTCTATCTAATATGTACACATATTTCTACATTTTGTGATATTTCCATGTCAAATCTGTTATACTAGTTGATGGTTGTTGTCATAGGGTGTTTTTTGGATGAAATTATTTTTTTTAATCCTTCAGTTATTTATCTTTTAGGTGTGTAATGAACAAAGGACTAAATCGGTGCTGGCTTCCAGTGTCACATTTGTAAGTTATACACTGATTCCGTGTGGAATAATGTTTGTAATGATTGTGTTAGTTAAGTACTTGCATTAGTGCAATCTTTATTGATCGACTGCACAACTAAATCCTATGTTATCATGATCTCATAGCAATTACACGTTGAGATTTAACATGTGTTTTTTTTCTGTGTCCATTCCATGCCTCTCTTCAGTGCAATAGTTTTATGTATAAATATCCCATTTCTGTATGTGATGACGCATTGTGTGTTGGCAGTTGTATCAAACACATCAAAGAAGGTAATATTGCTTCACCAGTTTTAGTCATAATGTGTACCGTGTTTCTTTTTTATCTGTTATGACATGCCTGAAAATAGAACGTCTATTAATACAGTGTCCGTCATAGTTCCCGGTCGAGTTTGTTGGTTACGTTTGTCAATCCACCATGTGATATTTTCATGATTTTCATTGTTATCAATGTTGTAAATATTTGTTATGTTTGAACAAATATGTTTATTTTATTTTGCTGATAGTATTACAGCAGACTTTGCGATATTATTTCTATTTCTATTCATTTCTTATCATCATGATTATAGCTCTGTATATGCTTTCTATGCTTTTAACATATACTCGTATGTCTACATTTTGTGACATTTTCATGATTGTAGCAGCAAGCTTTGTGCTACTTGAAATATGGGTTGTGTTTCTTTAATCTTGTTGGAACAAATCTGGCCCAAAGTATTAACGTAGGCTTCACCATAATGTTTCTATTTATATTCATCTCTTATCACGTGATCATAGCAATGAATATTTTTGTATGAATCTATTTTGTACACGTATTTCTACATTTTGTGATATTATCAAGCCAAAACGTTTATACTTGTTCATGTTGTTCTTATGACATCGTTTTTTAATAAATTAATATTTTGTTAGCCCTGCAGTTATTTATTGTTTGGGTGTGTAATGAACAGATGACTAAACCCAAGAGTCAATTTCTTAAACTCCGATCAACTCCTGTGAACTGCGACCACCTCCGTGGGGTAGTGGACAGAGCCTCTGCCTGGACAGAGGAAAGTCCACGGTTCGATTCCCTCTCCGCTTCATACCAGAATACGTCAAAACATGATACTTGTTGTTACCCTGCCTAGCGCAAGGCATTATGGGGATTAAACAAGGACTGGCCGGCTCAGAATCAGTATTATGTGTATGAGTCAGTATAGTGAGTCTGAACCAGAAGCAGCATCAAGCAAGCAGCCACACACATGTATGTAGGTGAGCGAAATAATCTCAAACATGCAACACACACCAGTCAGTAAAATACAGCGGAATCTTGGTTGATGTCACCATAAAAAAACAAATGACAAAAGCAACCCACCCTGATCAGCTTCAGTCCAGAGGTCCTTGGAGGGTGGTCTTTTCCAACATGCCCCTAAGCAACTATGTTATACACACACACACACACACACACACACACACACACACACACACACACACACACACACACACACACACACACACATCCCAAACGTGACGTAAAACCCCATTCAAACTCACCTCATCCATTATCAAAAAGTTCAGGTTGAGTTTTGTCATGTTGGAACTCTTTATGTTTGAGATTTAGACGTACGAGTGTTATAGTTCATACATATCCTGTTAGGGATTGTCAGATATCTGTGAGTCGTATTGAAATGTAGGCTTCGGTTCCTGGCTTATCGTGTGTGGATTTTATGGTCCATCACTTGATTGAATGGTTTGTTTACAGGCCGCCGTCGCATCGCAGTACTGCTGCAGAGTGTCAGACAACAAATACTTACGTTTTTTATGCACATTGTGTGTTTGTGATACCGGTAGGCTTATCCTTTTTGCCTGGTGTCATGACTAATTTCCACATGTATTTTGCCTCTTGCGCCCAATGGAATATGTTTCCGCGGATAACCGAGTCTGGTTTCCTCTGGTGTTGACGTCTTATATTCGTCAGCGACCCAATCAAATGAGTAGACTGTCAGTTCACATCATTATTTCAACAGCCCATGAATTGAAATGTTATGCATGGACGTGGTGAATATATCTATGCATAAGAGAACGTTTTAGTGAATGAATTAGACACTGCCTACAACATACACAATGTGGAATACTCACAGACATGTTGTTACAGTTTGGAGCTAAGCAAGATCATTTCCAGAGAATTTTGCCTTGGTTGTTTGATGAAGAAGGAGGACGAGTTCACACGGAACAAGACAAGGTCAATCAGTAGTTGGCATTGCATGTCTGAGGCCACTGATGATAACGTGATTGACAAGCGGATTGAGTTGTTTCCGAGAACCCCTCTTTAACACACACGTCTGTATTCACCTTGTATCAACGCACGGATTATCGCTATGCACACTTTAAGACAGCTCAGTGAAGCTAAAGTAACGTGCAGTAAAATGTTGCACTTTTACGAGCGTTTAAACATATACACAACTCGTCAAAAGTATCGCACCACCCAGTTTGATGTGTAAATGAGAGTTTATTTTCAATGTAGAGGTTTTCAAATGGTACACTGAGTGTTGACACATCATCTGCCTGTATAATGGTAGCCTCCTACACTGCCCAACCTTGTGAGTGTCTTTCTGCGAGCCGTTTGCACACCTTAGGGGTCTCTACAGAGAAATTCATGTTTAATGACGTCCCAGAAAATCTAGGATGGCAAATCACTGGCGTGCACCAAACTGGCATATCATGTCGAGTTATTGCCACCGTGTTGAACATAAACGAAAAGGTAATCAATCGGCTCATTTAAAAACACCCATTGACTGGACATGTTAGGAACTGGCCGATATCGGGATTTCTACGGTAGACTAGTGCCAGAAATGACAAAACGTCTGCCAACTTCAACTTGCACTGTTCTTCCCACAACAGAGTGTCCCTCAGTACCACCAGGCGTCGAATGAATACAAACAGGATTAAGGATCAGAAGACCAATTGGACTCTCACCCCAATACATTCGGGACTGTTTAGCCACGCACTGATGGCAGGACTCGTCTCTGGAGCCAAAGAGGAACATCTTATCATCAGCGCAACATCCAGGAAATAGTAGCATGTGGCGGCGGCTCGGGAATGGTACGGGGTTGTTGCTCCTTTGGTTGTAAACTTGATTTAGTCACAGTTCAGGGGACATTAAATGGAAAAGGTACCAAGATAGTGAAGATACAACATTGGACGGTTTTGTTGTGCCTCATGTTGATAACTTTGCACTTGCCACACGTCCAGTCTTCATGGACGACTGTGCCCGATCCAACTGAGCACTTCCTGAGACAGACCATCACCAGAACAACGCCATTGAGACTCTGCTTTGGCCTTCTCGAAGTCCAGACCCAAATCTAACGGATCATCTATGGGATCAGTTGGGAGGTAGGCTTTGTGCCAGGCACCCTCCAGTGCAGAATCTCCAAGAATTGACTTAGGCACTGCATCAAGAATGGCAACACATCCCTCAGTTGAGGATCAGGGGTCTGATGTTATGCATGTAAAACGTCTTGCGAATGTGATCCGTGTACAGGGTGGCCACAATCTCATTATGGACAGTTACCTTACTTATACAGCCAGTATTGATCCCAAATTACAGTCCTTGTAGTCGCTTGCGAATAATTTGTTTTTCTTTACAAATGCTTATGTTTCCTATTAGTCATAAAATCAACATCTTATTGGACATCAAGTAACAGTTTTCATTGCTTTAGTTTCGCTTTCCAGCTTCTCCTTACCAATCTCTTTTCTGATTATCAAAAACCTTGGTGCGATCCTTTTGACGAGGTGTATATAAAATTCTCTTTGTAACTTCTGAATGTTTTGTGATTGTTGTTTATCATCGTTAGTTATCCTTTTCAGTTGTTTATGCGGAGACTCATTTTGCTTCCCACAAAACTAGTCTGCGTCATGATGTTTCCAAGTTTTCTGAGACTTTTGGCATGCATGTCAGGTGGTAGGAAAACTTAATCAGATAATTCCTCCTGACCCTTTCAATCCTACATCAGCGTTTGAAGAGCTTTTTTCAGTCGTGTCATTATTAAATGTGTGAGTACATTATTTCAATGATCCATTCCAGTCCTAACAACGTACCTTCAAGTTGGGTCCGGTCCCAACCCCCACCACATACCCTCAAGTTGTGTCCAGTCTCCACCACATACCCTCAAGTTGTGTCCAGTCTCCACCACATACTCTCAAGTTGTGTCCAGTCTCCACCACATACTCTCAAGTTGTGTCCAGTCTCCACCACATACGCTCAAGTTGTATCCAGTCTCCACCACATACTCTCAAGTTGTGTCCAGTCTCCACCACATACCCTCAAGTTGTGTCCAGTCTCCACCACATACCCTCAAGTTGTATCCAGTCTCCACCACATACCCTCAAGTTGTATCCAGTCTCCACCACATACGCTCAAGTTGTATCCAGTCTCCACCACATACCCTCAAGTTGTGTCCAGTCCCCACCACATACGCTCAAGTTGTATCCAGTCTCCACCACATACCCTCAAGTTGTATCCAGTCTCCACCACATACCCTCAAGTTGTGTCCAGTCTCCACCACATACCCTCAAGTTGTGTCCAGTCTCCACCACATACCCTCAAGTTGTGTCCAGTCTCCACCACATACCCTCAAGTTGTGTCCAGTCCCCACCACATACCATCAAGTTGTGTCCAGTCTCCACCACTTACCCTCAAGTTGTGTCCAGTCTCCACCACATACCCTCAAGTTGTGTCCAGTCTCCACCATATACTCTCAAGTTGTGTCCAGTCTCCACCACATACTCTCAAGTTGTGTCCAGTCTCCACCACATACCCTCAAGTTGTGTCCAGTCTCCACCACATACCCTCAAGTTGTGTCCAGTACCCACCCCCACCACAAACCCTCAAGTTGTGTCCAGTCCCAACCCCCACCACATACCCTCAAGTTGTGTTCAGTCTCCACCACATACCCTCAAGTTGTGTCCAGTCTCCACCACATACCCTCAAGTTGTGTCCAGTCCCCACCACATACCATCAAGTTGTGTCCAGTCTCCACCACTTACCCTCAAGTTGTGTCCAGTCTCCACCACATACCCTCAAGTTGTGTCCAGTCTCCACCACATACCCTCAAGTTGTGTCCAGTCTCCACCACATACGCTCAAGTTGTATCCAGTCTCCACCACTTATCATAAAATAACAATGACTGATTTCATAATTTATGGACATTCTGAAATAAAATTCTAACTATTAAATACATATTCCAATTTCAATATACATAAGATCAAGCAGTATCTATAACATTAAACAAATGTCTATCTTGGTATTCTACTCACATAAAGTCAAACGATGCAAGCTCTTTGTGCGCAGTGCATTTAACTTTCAGCTGTTGTAACCTTGTTCTAAAAATAGTTCGGGATTACCAGGTTACAATGACCTGCTGATAGCAGTTTGTCCATGTGTGGTTGGACTGCAGTGTTAAACACCACAATGATAAATAATATCTGAATACACAGGTCAGATACAAGCCGGATGTTATATAAATACACACACACATCCTAACACTGGTCACCTGTGTCAGGTAATACCTCTGATAGCGCCAATAACACCTCCCAGGCCAAGATGAAGGTCAGACGAGAAGCTTCTTTAGGGGAATCCCCTTTGGGAAAACCAGCAGTTTCCCAACATGCAATCCCCTGGCTATCAATAGGAGTGACAGGGTTGTGCATATAAGCTATGACGAACTCACATCATTGAATACAACTGAACAAGATGGAAGAACATAGATGTGTAAGCATTGTAAGGGCAGTTTTCATTCTTCTGATCAAAATATGTTGTTGGTGCATCAAGTATAATATGTTAGGATTTCAATAATTGTCTAACAGAAATTGGATTGTTTATTGTAATAGACCTGGAATCTCTTTAAGTGGCATTCAAGGGACTGACAGGCATCGTGGTATCTAAGTGTCTCTTACCTGTCAAGGTTTTCTTCTCACCAGTTACTGCACGTCTAATGTCACTTTATTAGTCAAGACAAACATATATTGTTACATTTTGACATTCGTAATTACAGGTATTGTTTACAGTGATCGCTATAGTTCATAATTCATGTACTTACCTCAACGTAATTGTTCTCAAAACATAAAAAAGGTTACCTGGTCACAATATGTGTGCAATCAAATAACAATGTTACCACCTGAGAATTCAATTAGAAAATGCATGTAAATGTTTTAAACAGCATCAGATCAGCTATATATTCATTGGCTTTTATTCTTGTAGTTAGACATTAGATAGTGAAAATCTAAAATTATGCAAGGAAATGTATTGATTCTGATTTTAATCCAACCCTCACTTCAGACAAAAATAACATGCTTGTTTTGCTTCTTAGTTTTTTCAGAATTCATCAGAATCGTGGATATCGCTGAAAACAAATAAATACTCCCGTCCAGTATTGAGAGTACACATCAAGTGTGGGAAGGATATATCCCACGTGATGCTTGCAGTCAACAACCGACGGGGGTCACTCAAGCACCTGTTTGTTCTGAAGGCTGGCAATGATATGGAGCGGTCAGTCCCGGATCTGGACACAGTCCAGGTGTTCGGACTGAAGATTGACACTGGACAGAGCAGCGACAGATACCCCTTGGCAACATCGTATACTGTGGAAACAACTCGCAAACTTGTCATTTCTCCAACTTACCAGACACAAGGTATGGGAAAATTGTTTTATTTAACAAATTATACAGAAATCGTGATCTGTTCTTATATATAAGTCATAACTGTTTTGTAATCATAATTGATCAGTAGAATTTTAGGTGAATTTATGTTATGTTAATCTCATTCAGGTTAAATGTATGTCTGTTGAGAACATTTCACTTAGACTGAAGAAAACCTGTTTCATGTCTTCATTTGATCCTCAAACACCCTCCCACTGAACAGGGTGGAACACTACGTTTTGAAGCTTTACTACACAATGAAACATTTTCTAACATGACAGTACTGTTTAAAGAAATTCTAGATTAACAAATTTCCTGATTATTGAATCATGTGTTCCTTTGAATACATATATACCACTCCAACAACTTGACATGTGACCGGATTAACAGGGTCCGGTCTTGTGAGGGTCTACTGTGCATATCTGACAGCAAAACTGTGACACAATACATGGAATGAACACAATTTTGTTTTTTGGATATGTAGTCTATCAAAGCAAATGACAAATGTGATCTTACAAAATGTCTCAACCCCTTGTATATATTTTCAGGAAACGTATTGTGCCATTTCCCTTACTACTATCATACACCATGCACTTTGATGTCCTTGTATTGTTGTACAGACACTCGAACTTACTTTAGGATACTTGGGTGGTGCATGGCATTTGGAGATGCACCGATATTTGAATCAGAAGCCCAGTGAAACACGAATGTTTGGGCAAAATATTTCAAGTTCATATACATGGCATATTTCCTTCACATGTATGAACAATAATAATAATGATGTTTTCCTCTTTGTTTCACAGAGTTGGACTTGAGTTGTGGGTTCTCCTCACTTGGTCACGTGATGCACCTGTTGGGGGAGACTCAGGTGAGTGAGGAGTCCTCGTGTCTTGCCGTTTGTTCTGTCTGTGTTGTCCAGCCACATAGAGTCTGACGAGAAGCATTTAAAAACATGTAGTTTTACTTTACGTTCTGAATAGATACACACATGTATTTTAGTTTTAATTGGATATCCCTGTTTTGACTCACATTAAAGGAAACTAATTGAGATTATTTTTCTTTGGTATTCTGTATTTTATCAGGATATGAAATTATCAAACTTTGTTTGAGAAATTGAAGACCCTTCATTTTGATGACAAAATATCATTTTCAGGATCGACTTGAGATGGAGGTTGAGCACAAGCCACCACTGGACTACAGCCTCAAGCCTACAGGACCTTCTGACAGCGAGGCAGGTCTGTGTGTTGTGTTCTGTGAGAGAAGTCAGAAGGAGTACGTTGTGATGTCGTCTGCCCCGGTCAGCGCCAGCATCCCACTCCTGCCTGTCTGTCGGTCCAGGACCAACTACAAGGTCAAGGTCGTGGGACTCACAGGTTCCAGTGTGGACCAAACTGGACAACGGTCAGCTGTGTGTCAGGACTACACACCAACTGGTGGATCAGACACCATCACTGTCAAGACATGTAAGTTGACTTTGCTTTCATTTGTCAACAATAAGTGAGTTTAAACTCCACTTTCAACTGTGTTTTGGTGAGGAAAGAGAGGAAAAGGTTGTTGTGTGTTCTAGAATCGGCTCAAGTCGTCAAATGTCAATGATTAAAAAGATTTCACTGTATACCTGCCTGTGAATATGTCACGTGAATATACATAAAGTTAACGTTTATTTTGAATATTCCCCTTTCCTCCCTTGTTTACAGGCAATACTAAGGCAGATCTCCAGCAGCTTCTGGACAAAGCAAAGACCTTTTGTTCCAAGAACCTGCAAACTCCAGGCAGATATAATGTTACGAAGTTCTACCGCAACAAACCTGAGTCCTACTATGATAACATCATGTCCAACAGAGCTGGAGTGATGGAGAAGTACCTGAAGGACAACAATGGCGACCCATATTGTCCAATCAACAACAAAATCAATGGCCTCTTCTTCAGCGGATCAAAGAACAAAAAGAAAATACCGAACTTCTCCTTCTTCGGAAACAGACGTCTTTTCATCCCGGTGGAGGAACTGTTCACATCAGACACCAGGATGTACTTCTCAGACTTTTACTGTCACAAGGAAACACATTACGTCACAGTTGTGGTCACAAAGATGGGATCAGCTGAAGACAGATTCAGTGAGGGGAGGCTTCCTGAACTGGATTTGCACCTCAACCCATTTTTCACTGTCAGAGAAGACACCACACTCATGTCACAGTTTGTATCATGCTCACGAAAAATTGAAGACATTCTTAGAGGATACTCGAGAAGTTCCATGTCCAGACAGAAAGATGTTCCGAAGACGTTCACGATGGTGTCTGTCAACAAGTTCCATGTGGAGTTTCTGTACACGGAGGATGTCGACATCAGGGGCTTGATGGACAAGTGTGGGGAGGACAAGGTGTATTTTAAACATGTCCGTGTCCGGGGGAGGGGACGCAGCAAGAAGGAGGGAATTCCTAAGAAGCTTGACTGTCCAGACTGCAGCTTTGACCCTTAACCCGAACATGATGAGTTGCATACAAGGGGTGACTTGAAATGAGGTTATATGCTTGTATGACATCACGCTAACCATTTTTGGAGAACACCTGGTATTTGATAGTGATTCATAAACACCTGGTATCATCACTATTTGATAGTGCTTCATAAACACAAACTCGTGATAGAGTCTGATTCTTACGGTCGACGCCTCTTTTTGCAGAGACTTCTTTTGAATATGGAAGGGCTTTCATTCTCTTAATGACAGAACAAATGCCTTTTGTGAATGCCAACTGAATTATATGCCTTCTATATGTGCTATTTGTAATATGTGTTGTGTTACTTTAATCTTATTTGAATGAATCTGACTGATAGTATAACCGTAGGCTTCAGAATTGTTTCTGCCTATATTTATCTCTTATCATCGTGATCATTGCCATACATATTTTGTGTTTAATTCTATTTAATATGTACTCATATTTCTACATTTTGTGATATTTCCATGTCAAATCTGTTATACTAGTTGATGGTTGTTGTCATAGGGTGTTTTTTGGATGAAATTATTTTTTTAATCCTTCAGTTATTTATCCTTTAGGTGTGTAATGAACAAAGGACTAAATCGGTGATATTTGTAAGTTATACACTGATTCCGTGTGGAATAATGTTTGTCATGATTGTGTTAGTTAAGTACTTGCATTAGTGCAATCTTTATTGATCGACTGCACAACTAAATCCTATGTTATCATGATCGCATAGCAATTACACGTTGAGATTTAACATGCTTCACCATAATGTTTCTATTTATATTCATCTCTTATCACGTGATCATAGCCATGAATATTTTTGTATGAATCTATTTTGTACACGTATTTCCTCATTTTGTGATATTATCAAGCCAAAACGTTTATACTTGTTCATGTTGTTCTTATGACATCGTTTTTTAATAAATTAATATTTTTTAGCCGTGCAGTTATTTATTGTTTGGGTGTGTAATGAACAGATGACTAAACCCAAGAGTCAATTTCTTAAAGGAACACAAGACTCTGGCTTCTATCCTGCTTTCTGACACGATCAACTCCTGTGAACTGCGACCACCTCCGTGGGGTAGTGGACAGAGGAACCTCCACGGTTCGATTCCCTGTCCGCGTCATACCAAAAGACGTCAAAATATGATACTTGTTGTTACCCTGCCTAGCGCAAGGCATTATGGGGATTAAACAAGGACTGGCCGGCTCAGAATCAGTATTATGTGTCTGAGTCAGTATAGTGAACCAGAATATGTCTGAACAAGTACAAGCAGCCACACATATGTATGTGGATCAGCGAAATAATCTTAAAAACATGCAACGTACACTAGTCAGTAAAATTGAACTGAACCTTGGTTGACGTCACCATAAAAATACAAATGACAAAAGCAGCCCACCCGGATCAGCTTCAGTCCAGAGGTCCTTGAAGGGTGGTCTTTTCCAACATGCTCCAAAGCAACTATGTTATATACTCTTATTTAAATTTTAAAATGTCTTGTAAAGTAAAACATACATGACAAGCACACACACACACACACACACACACACACACACACACACACACACACACACCAAACGCGACGTAAAACCCCCTTTCAACTCTGTTTTGTCGTGTTGGAACCCTTTGTGTGTGAGATTTAGAAGGACGACTGTTATGGATCATACCTTTCCTGTTTGGGGCCAGTCAAATATCTGTGAGTTGTATTGAAATGTAGGCTACGGTTCCTGCCTTATCGTGTGTGGATGTTATGGCCCATCACTTGATTGTCTGGCTGGTTTACAGGCCGCCGTCGCATCGCAGTACTGCTGCAGTGTGTCAGACAACAAACACTTACGTTTTTTATGCAAATTTTGTGTGTGTGTCTGTGTGTCAGTGTGTGTGTGTGTCAGTGAGTGAGTGTGTGTGTGTGTCAGTGAGTGAGTGTGTGTGTGTCAGTGAGTGAGTGTGTGTGTGTCAGTGAGTGTGTGTGTCAGTGAGTGTGTGTGTGTCAGTGAGTGTTCGTGTGTCAGTGTGTGTGTGTGTCAGTGAGTGAGTGTGTGTGTGTCAGTGAGTGAGTGTGTGTGTGTCAGTGAGTGTGTGTGTGTCAGTGAGTGTGTGTGTGTCAGTGTGTGTGTGTGTGTGTGTGTGTGTGTGTGTGTGTGTGTGTGTGTGTGTGTGTGTGTGTGTGTGTGTGTGTGCACACACACATCACTATATATATATACAAGGGCTTGCGACCGCATTCACCACAAACCATTATGTTAGACGTACTATGTTTAACACCAAGAAATCTTTTACGAGCGAAAAATATACGGATTCAAACGCTTTAGCCTCTGCAAAACCCAATATTTCCGAACCATAGGAAGGTGTGTGTGTGTGTGTGTTATACTGATAGGGTTGGACATGCCTACCCTTTTCGCCTGATGTCATCACTAATTTTCACATCTATTTTGCCTTTTGCGCCCAATGGAACATGTTTCCGCGGATAATCGAGACTGGTTGTTCTCTGGCACTGACGTCTTATATTCGTCTCTGACCCAATCAAATGAGGAAAGACTGTCAAACCCATAAGTTCACTTTATTATTTCAACAGCCAATGAATTTAGATGTTATTTATGGACGTGGTGAATATATCTATGCATAAGAGAAAGTTTTAATGGGTGAATCAGACACTGCCTACAACATGGACTATGTAGGATACTTACAGACGCGTTATTCAGGAATGGCATCACATCCCTCAGTGGAGGATCCTGCGTCAGATGTGGAGACTCGAGGAGGCATTTTGCGGATGTGATCCGTGTACGGGGTGGCTACACCAGGTATTGACTTACACTGTTGATCATTTAACTGTGACATGGTTAACATGTATGTGACACATGTATGTGTGGATCTCATTCCTGACTGTTACCATACTTATACTGACACTAATGATCTGTCCATCTCATTCCTGACTGTTACCATACTTATACTGACTCTAATGATCTGTCCATCTCATTCCTGACTGTTACCATACTTATACTGACTCTAATGATCTGTCCACCTCATTCCTGACTGTTACCATACTTATACTGACACTAATGATCTGTCCACCTCATTCCTGACTGTTACCATACTTATACTGACTCTAATGATCTGTCCACCTCATTCCTGACTGTTACCATACTTATACTGACTCTAATGATCTGTCCACCTCATTCCTGACTGTTACCATACTTATACTGACTCTAATGATCTGTCCATCTCATTCCTGACTGTTACCATACTTTTACTGACTCTAATGATCTGTCCACCTCATTACTGACTGTTACGATACTTATACTGACTCTAATGATCTGTCCACCTCATTCCTGACTGTTACCATACTTATACTGACTCTAATGATCTGTCCATCTCATTCCTGACTGTTACCATACTTATACTGACTCTAATGATCTGTCCATCTCATTCCTGACTGTTACCATACTTATACTGACTCTAATGATCTGTCCATCTCATTCCTGACTGTAACCATACTTATACTGACTCTAATGATCTGTCCACCTCATTCCTGACTGTTACCATACTTATACTGACTCTAATGATCTGTCCATCTCATTCCTGACTGTTACCATACTTTTACTGACTCTAATGATCTGTCCACCTCATTCCTGACTGTTACCATACTTATACTGACTCTAATGATCTGTCCATCTCATTCCTGACTGTTACCATACTTATACTGACTTTAATGATCTGTCCATCTCATTTCTGACTGTTACCATACTTATACTGACTCTAATGATCTGTCCACCTCATTCCCGATTGTTACCATACTTATACTGACTCTTATGATCTGTCCATCTCATTCCTGACTGTTACCATACTTATACTGACTCTAATGATTTGTCCACCTCATTCCTGACTGTTACCATACTTATACTGACTCTAATGATCTGTCCACCTCATTCCTGACTGTTACCATACTTATACTGACTCTAATGATCTGTCCACCTCATTCCTGACTGTTACCACACTTATACTGACTCTAATGATCTGTCCACCTCATTCCTGACTGTTACCATACTTATACTGACACTAATGATCTGTCCATCTCATTCCTGACTGTTACCATACTTATACTGACTCTAATGATCTGTCCATCTCATTCCTGACTGTTACCATACTTATACTGACTCTAATGATCTGTCCACCTCATTCCTGACTGTTACCATACTTATACTGACACTAATGATCTGTCCACCTCATTCCTGACTGTTACCATACTTATACTGACTCTAATGATCTGTCCACCTCATTCCTGACTGTTACCATACTTATACTGACTCTAATGATCTGTCCACCTCATTCTTGACTGTTACCATACTTATACTGACTCTAAGGATCTGTCCATCTCATTCCTGACTGTTACCATACTTATACTGACTCTAATGATCCCCAATTACAGTCCTTGTAGTTACTAATGAATGAAGTTGTTATTTTTCTTTGCAAATGCTGTTTTTTCCTATTTGTCATAAAATCACCATCTTATTTGACATTAAGTAACACTTTTCATTGCTTATGTCTCGCTTTCCAGCTTCTTCTTACCCATGTCTTTTCTGATTATCAAAATATCTTGGTGGTGCTATACTTTTGACGAGGTTATACAAAATTCTCTTTATAACTACTGCCTGTTTTGTGATTATTGTTTATACCCTCAAATTGGTTAGTCACCATTACTGGTTGTTTATGTTGAGACTCATTCTGCTTCCCCTCAGGATGTTTCAAATTTCAGGCGGTAGGAAAACCTCATCAGACAATTCCCGCTTGCCTTGCCTCTGTCTAGCCAGCTTTTGGAGAGCCCTTCAGTCGGGTCAATATTCCAGTGAGATCAAATGTTACGCCAGCTAACGTTAAGGCTTAGATCAAGTTTTTTCTCTCCATTGTTGGTTAACCCTAAGTAGATACGTCTGATCAAGGACTTCACGTCAGGGTTGTTTCAGCAGGTCATGTTAGACAGGTCAAATCTAATGCTTTAAATATCACCCTGGGTCAGAAGGTGCATTTGAAAGATCAGACTCATAAAATGGTTTTCCTTTGAAACTGAAAAGGAGTAGGAAGGCATTTGTTGTTGCTGTTGTTTGCAGTGTCAGTTCAAGAACTATTAGGGCTCAGTCCCATTGAGCATGTGAAAGGACAATGGCTTAATGACAATCAGATTTATATTTATTAGACTATGTGTCTACTATCCGAACTAGATTTCTGCAGAATGTTGGTGTAACCAGGGAATTATAAGGTTATCATTGAGAACCTATGATAAAAAAAAAAATTAAAAAAAGAAATTTCCATCCTGGAGACAGGATTTTCGAGTTGCTACCCATCTCTGGTCACAGTGTTAGATTCCATAGTCCTTGAGTGATGTGAATATCCCATGCCTTTTAGAAAGTGGTCAAATGTAACATATGTTCTATTTGGGATAACAGGTTCTTAATACAAATTCTAGTACTTTTATAGGTTGAGTCCCATTCAGGATTCGAACCCATACCTCTCAATGTAAGTCACCTAATTGCCATCACACAAAGTCATGAATGATTGATAAGAAGTCAGTGAAACTGACAACATTGTCCAAACTCCTAGCCGCCGAAAACAAGCAAGGTAGTGTCATTTGAATATGAAAAAGGAATTCCGACTATATCATGAGCATGTGTTTATGAATCACTATCAAACAGTGATGATACTAGGTGTTCGCGAAAAGGTGATCGTATCCTGCCCACCGGTGGCAAGTGTCACAAACACATACAAATATAAGTTCATTGTTCACCTAAAAAAACATATGGTTTAAGTCAAGATAGGGAATTGCATCGGACATTCGCAAAAAGTGCATTAGCTCAGGCACTCGGGTAGTCAGACAGGATCAGGTACAACTGATCAAAGCAAGA